CTTCCACCACACGTGCTCTAACCCACGCGTGTTCGTATGTTCGTTTCTACACGACATTCTAGCAAATGCAACTGCAGTACACATATTGAGAAAAACGTAATTAATTAGTTTACAAAAACGGAACAAGCTTCGCTGAGATCAAACGAAAAAAAACCCGCAAAATACATCAATGTATGTGTACACATATATATCAGGAGGGAAGAGGGAAATCAGACAACATGACGCGCTGCAGATACGCCGTGCCCTCGGGACGGCCCAAGGTGACGGCTCGTCCCGCAGCCGTGGTTGGATCAGCAGCGCTCCTCTTGTCTCAACCTGTTAACTGAGCCGGAAGCTACATTTACCAGCTACCCACACCGCACCAGTGGTTTTGGTCACGGAGTTTCCATTATGGAACCACAATGAGGTGTGTTTTTTTTCCTTTTTGTTAGCCACGTACACACATACGTACGTACACACACGTACACACACGTACACACACACACGCAAGGCCGTAATTATAATATATATTGGGGGGGGGGGGGACACATCCCCCCCCCCCCAATATTCAAATATGCTTAAAATGCCCCCCCCCCCCCCAATATATTGCTATTAAAACAAATTGCTATGCTATGTAAATAAAAACAACAATTTGCTAAACATTGGCCACAATATCTGGACTTGTCTTCATATAAATCAATGTATAGATTTCTGTTTATATAATTGTGGTTATGGTTGTACTTTATTAATCCCTAATCTCTGCCATTACATACAATGCAACAAGAAATGGTAAAAAAAGTAAAAACAGAGCAAAGTAATGCAAAATAAATAAAAAAGCCCATCCCACGTGCTAGTGAATTATAACTGGAATTTTAAAATGCCATTTTTTTAAAACACTAAATTGGAAATAGGAAAATGCTTTTATAATCCTCGCTGTTTAAATGTCATTATAAATGCCATATGTCAGCTCGTATCACGAGTGTGTTATCATGGATCGCTTACTACATTTCCATTGCGCGTAGTTTTGGTTCATTATTTTAATTATCAATAATTTTTTGGTGCAACCCCTGTAAACTCTCCCCTTCGGTTTAACGTGCTCAGCCGTTTTGGCCTGGTCGCCATAGACATCGCCTTGGCGAGATGTTAACTACCTCGCCTGGTATACAGGAGGACGTGGGTTCGATCGCGACCGTGGCGCCTGCATATTTGGAGTTTGCGGTGTCTCTCTCCCCGGGGTCGCGTGGACTTTTCTCCGGGTCCTTCGGTTTTTTCCCTCTATATTTATAAAGTGTTTGGCTGCTATACATTTGCACGTGATACGCCAGTTCGTTGAGCTATCGTTTGTGGTCAGGTCGCTTCTGAAACACAGCTACATAGTTCAGTGGGCCTCACCTGGTAAAATAAAAACAAATGAAAAAGAGCGTCTTAGTTCAATGGGTCTTACCCAAAATAAACTGCCTGACTTGACTGATCTGGCTACGCAGATTTACCGGGGCCTGCCCTCCGTCATCAAGGTCGCTCATGATCAAGGCATAACCGCCGTTGTGTTATGCGGGTGTTATCTATTCCACCCCGTGTCAGAGTTGATCTAAGAGTGAAACGAGAGAACACATCACTGGAAAGCGCACGAGAGACGTTGGCATGACTCTCCCCCTTCGAAATCGAAGACATGCTCACCGGGTATCCACGATCTACACACGCGCACACATTATACACACGTACGCGTTCAAATGAATGCTAAGTCATAAAAATGTGACCATCCCTTGAGAAAAAAAAACTGAACAGGCGAAGTCTCGCTCAGACACAGAGCTGCACCGTATTTAATTCCGCAATTAAAACACGAAGCTGTTACACCTTCTTCTTGGTTCTTTCGGTAAAGTCACGTAGAATGGAAATAATAAAATAATACAAATAAAACATAATAAAATAATTATCACGTCTTCTCAACAGACCTGTTCTTGACAGACCTGTTCTTCACCTGAGGTCGGCTGCTTGCGTTGTGGCCGAAACGTTGTGAGAATTATCTTATGTTTATTTGTATTATTTTATTATTTCCATTCTACGTGACTTTACCGAAAGAACCAAGAAGATGAATCCCTGCAGTCACGAAAGCTCTAAATCTGTTACACCTTGAGTACATTCTACATGAACCGGCGGTGTGCACCATGTTAAGTATTGTGTGTATGTATTCTTGTGTTTGTCTCGGTGTGATATTGAAAGTATACGTGCATACCTTTGGAGATATATGTTTAAAATATGTTACACAGCATCATTGCGAGTTTGCTAACGAGATGGTCCATCTCCAGAGATTATGCAGGTGGAATATTTGATAATTCAAACATTTAGCTAACAGCCCTGGCCTGTTGATAGCATTGTAAGCCTTGATCCAGGTCAATAACCTGATGTGTACATAACACACTTGGATGTTATAGGTGGCACGCACGAAGATAAAGATCCCCCGCATAGCCTTGACAAACTTTTAGGACAAGTGCTGCTAACGAACACCTATGAAGGCCGACACGGTACGCAAGAGGGTGGGTATCCAGCACCACGCCCGACCGCCTTTGTCTCCCAGTGGCGAAGTTTACACACTGCACCGGGTCCACTTTTGAGGCTGAGTCGAGCTAGGGGAAGCCCAAGACCGGTTCAGATAATTCTCACTGGGTGTTTGGCCGTGAGAACGAATCGAAGTCGCGTCGCCGGGTTCGTTCGCTGACCGTTGCGCCACCCCTCTCGCAAGCTGGTGGTTTCCTCTAACTACTGTAATTGGAAACATCTTTTTATTATACGTTCAATCCCCAGTTTTTTTCGTCGCCCAACCACAGCCACAGTCGAGTAGACGGAAGTTGGAACGGAGCGCCTCAAAGGAAAGTTTCGGTGGTAATTCAAAAGGTTATAGAGCATCGAGCAGCATCGAGATGCACCCACGGTAGAATCTTGAGTTTGACCCGCACATGATCCAACTTCTCAACTGTAGCCAGCTGATGGTCTCCGATGATTTACACACATACCCAGACTTACATAAGACCTACAAAAGACTGTGGATTAAACCCCAGGGTGTCAACATCTTCTCGTGTCACGCATTGCACGAATGGCATTTGGCCCCGTCCTGAGCAACTCTGATTATAATCAAAAATTAACCCGTAAAAACTAAGTTTTTCACTATAAATCCTTTATATGCGTGGCGGCTAGAGTCCTCTCGTCCTCTGGCTTGAGATGGCTGCCACCTATGGGTCAAATGATGCCTGCCACCATTAAGCAATTGGTAATTAAATATAATTTATTTTTTCCTAAAAAGTGTAACATTTTGGAAAAAAAATTTTACGAAAATAAATTGTCACGCACAACGAGTCTGTGTGCAAAATGTCAGCTCGATTGGATCACGGGAAGTGGGTTAAAAAACTACCGAGAGATCTGCACGGTCGTAAGCGCGCAAGCAAGCAAGCAAGTGAACTTAATATAAATGATTTAATAACTCGCCTTTTGCCCATCCAATGACGGGTGTATTGCAGTAAATCTGAAACTTGCAAGCGAAAAGCAGCCCGCGACGTGATATTCATTGCATCAACTCGTGTGCAATTTGTAAGACCGCAGTGACACGGACCGATTGCATTTATAAAGGTTAAAATCCCTTGTTCATCACGACGTCCTTTTTACTTCGATGTCTCAACAGCGTTACGGAGATCACGTGACGTGAGGGTTCTGCCTGCGTAGTGAGGGTTGTGAGTTGACGCCGAGGAGGGGGGGAGGCGCCCCCCCCCCCCCGCATGTGGAGTGACGTCACCCGCTAATTATTGTTAATTGGGGGGGGGGGGGGGGGTGTCCATTTTGAAGACGTCACCTCTTCTTGATTATTAATTAGGGGGGCTGTTCGATGTGGAGTGACGTCAACTCCCTCATGATTATTAATGAGGGGGTTGCTACATGTGGAGTGATGTCATCCGCTCATGATTATTAATGAGGGGGTTGCTACATGTGGAGGACGTCATCCGCTCATGATTATTAATGAGGGATGGGGGTCCATGTAGAGGACGTCACCTGTTCATGATTATTAATGAGGGGGGCTGGCCGACGTGTAGTGACGTCACGCGCGGGACACACAGACATTCTTGGCTCATTGTCGTCGTAGATTATAACAAAGAGCAGTGGCACAGCAGCAGTTAGCGCTACGCTCACGGCCAACACCCGGTGACGATTATCTGAACCGGTCCTGAGCCTCCCCTAGGTCGACTCAGCCTCAAAGGAAGTGCCCGGTGCTGTGTGTTGAAACATCGCCACCAGGGAGTCAAAGGCAGAAGTGTAATTAATTAATGCAGACAGGATTCCTTGCAACAGAGTTTCTACTTGGCGTTTGAACATTTTAACACAACTCCTGTTTTATTGCCAGAAATATTAAAACCGTATTTTTTCCTACTATGATACTGGCCTAAAAAAAGGTCCCATGTTAAACCGTATAGGCTGACAGCTAAGGGGCCGTCCATAAATGACGTCACGCACCTAGGGGGGGGGGGGGGGGACAGATATTTGTGACGATGTGTGACGAGGGGGGGGGGGGGGTTTGAGAAATGTGACGTCACATCAAATGCGCAACTTTAAATAAATATAGACAACACGTTCTACTTAATTAAATAGACTTTTAAATAAATGTTTTCTCCTACAACATCAGAGTGCAGCGCCACATTAAATACGCACTACAATGACAATAGTTTAAAGCGATTTGAAGCACGTTTTATTTTGGGGGGGGGGGGGGGGCAGAGCTTTGTGACGTCATATTTGAGGGGGGGGTCTGACTTTTTGTGACGCTGTGTGACGAAGGGGGGGGGGGGGTCAAAATCGTCCAAAATCGCGTGACGTCATTTACGGACGGCCCCTTATGTCTGAACTTTTGCCAAGTACACAGGATTTAGATTTAATTCCCGAAATACGAAACGCGTTCGGCACACAGCCCTCGCGAGCCGCCGTCTGGCCGGGCTCCCTCTACATTTCCCAGCGCGGATAGTCGTCACGGCCCCCCCGCGTCGCCCAAGCGAACTGGGGATTGTGAAGAGGTGTGTGGGGGGTGTTGAGATACGCGCCACGCACACGCGCGCCTGCCCCGTCTGATCACTGCCTGCTGCGCTAATTGGGTCGTTGATTGATCGATCGATCCGCCCGTGGCGAGGCAGGGGGGTTGGCGGATTGATCGGCGCGGACAGGCGATGGAGGGCGCCGCCGAGGAGAGGCTCTGCGCCGAGTTCAGGAGCATCACGGGCGCCGACCGCGGCCTCGCCAAGCAATACCTGGGCCGGGCCGCCTGGGACCTGCAGGTGGCGCGGGGGGGGGGGGGCGGGGGGGGTTGGCACGGGGGGTGGCACGGGGGGGTGGCACGGGGGGGGTTGGCACGGGGGGGGGTGGCACGGGGGGGGGGTGGCACGGGGGGGGGTGGCACGGGGGGTGGCACGGGGGGGGGGTGGCACGGGGGGGGGTGGCACGGGGGGGTGGCACGGGGGGGGGGGTGGCACGAGGGGGGTTGGCACGGGGGGGGTGGCACGGGGGGGGGGGTGGCACGGGGGGGTTGGCACGGGGGGGGGTGGCACGGGGGGGGGTGGCACGTAGGGGGGGGGTGGCACGGGGGGGGGGGGGGGTTGGCACGGGGGGTGGCACGGGGGGGTGGCACGGGGGGGGTTGGCACGGGGGGGGGTGGCACGGGGGGGGGGTGGCACGGGGGGGGGGTGGCACGGGGGGGTGGCACGGGGGGGGGGTGGCACGGGGGGGGGTGGCACGGGGGGGTGGCACGGGGGGGGTGGCACGGGGGGGGTTGGCACGGGGGGGGTGGCACGGGGGGGGGTGGCACGGGGGGGGTTGGCACGGGGGGGGGTGGCACGGGGGGGGGGTGGCACGTAGGGGGGGGGTGGCACGGGGGGGGGGGGGGTTGGCACGGGGGGGGGTGGCACGGGGGGGGGGGTGGCACGGGGGGGTGGCACGGGGGGTGGCACGGGGGGGGGGGGTTGACACGGGGGGGGGTTGGCACGGGGGGGGGGGGTTGGCACGGGGGGGGGGGGTTGGCACGGGGGTGGGTTGGCACGGGGGGGGGTTGGCACGGGGGGGGGTTGGCACGGGGGGGGGTTGGCACGGAGGGGGGGGGTTGGCACGGGGGGGGGGGTGGCACGGGGGGTGGCACGGGGGGGGGGGGTTGACACGGGGGGGGGGTTGGCACGGAGGGGGGGGGTTGGCACGGGGGGGGGTTGGCACGGGGGGGGGTTGGCACGGAGGGGGGGGGTTGGCACGGGGGGTGGCACGGGGGGGGGTTGGCACGGGGGGGTGACTCGGGGATGTGGTTGGGGAGGACACACTGGGGAGGGGTGTGATACACTTAAGGGGGGCACGGCGGGGGGGGGCACGGCAGGGGGGGAGCACGACGGGGAGGGTACAGTGGGGGGGGGTGGTACGGGGGGGGGCACACCAGGGGGGGCACGGCAGGGGGGGGGGCACGGCAGGGGGGGGGGCACGGCAGGGGTGGACATAGGAATGGGATGTGGGGGAGTCATGGTTCATGGTGGGAGGGAGGGGGGGGTGACTTGCGGGGCAGGGAAAACACGAGGTGGGGGGGGGGGTAGACACTGGGAGATCGGGGGACGCGGGGAGAGATAGAGGAAGATAGGGGGAGGCAAGGGGAGGCACCGGGGGGAGGGGAGCGAGGTAGGCGGGATTCAAGGGGAAACGCAGGAGAAACAGGGGGGCAGGGGGGGTCACGGTGTTAGACACGGGGAGATGGGGGAGAAACAGGGACAGATATCGGTTGGGGGGGCGGTCTTGGGCCAGTGAATCCCAATTACACCCCCATCTCTGCAAGACCCCTGAGCTCCGTGCTGGGCCCCTAACCCCTTAGTGGTGTGCTTGTGACTGTGTCCACAGCACGCCCTGAACACCTACTTTGAGGGGGACACTGACCCGGGCAGCTCGGTGGCTTCCGCGATGCAGCCGCCCCCCGTGGAGGTGCTGGACGTGAGCTCCGACCTGGAGGTCATCGAGGAGAACTCGCTGCCCCCCAACCTGCACAGGTGATGCCCTCCCCAGGGGGGCACCAGATAGTCCGAAGGTCACAGGGGTGTCTGGTGTGAGTCTCTGATATTATTGGCAGGGGTCAAATGGGGTTGGAGTCTTGGGTTCTTGGGGTCGGTGTCTGAGGCGACGGTCAAGTTGGGTGCACCTCTTACGTCACGCTTCCTGGTCGCGTGGCCGCTCGTTGCAGAGGCTTGTGGTTCAAGCATGCCCCCGTGAACTTAGCTTTCCTAAGCGTCGTCAGGGTCAAAGTTCCAATTGTCAAAGTTTGCGGGTCCAAAAAGGGGTAGCCCGCGACTTTGAGCGGTGGTAAGGAACGTTTTTGAGATCCTGGCGGATGTGGAGAGGTTCGTTTCCCACAATTCTCTGGACCTCCTCGAGGTTCGCAGCATTGTGGCGATTGGACCGGGGGGGTGATGTGCGACAGCACGGGAAGCCACGGCGTTGGGTTCGACTTGAGGATCAGCAAGTCGAGTGTGGCTTCGTCCGGTCCCTACCCATTCGCAGCACTCTGCTACGGAGTACATAAAGGGCCATCACTGGCAGACTGATGGCCTCTTGCAGGCTGGTACTGCACAGGGACAGCTTCCATCAGTAGGCGTTCTTGCCTTCCTGAAGAACACCGCGAAATAATGTATAATATAGGGTAAAGCACAGTCCGCGATAACACGTGCGATGCTTCCACAGGCTGAACAAAGACTGAGGCACGCGGGTAGCATCTAGAAGCATCCAGCAGCATCCCGCCTTGTGCGATGTTACGCTGAGGCAGCGTTATATCCAATTTGCGTTATGAAAAAACATGCGTGGTAGGAGAACAGACTGTGACTGAGATACAATGTAAGAAGCGTTGAGTTTCTCAGGCTTTTAAGCACCGTGTGCATGAAAATTGGTATCGTTTTTTGTTGTGTCGCGGGTTGCTGTGCTCAGTGCTAGCGGCGGGGACGAGGGGTCTCTGTCGCTGCTCTGCTGGAACCTGGACGGGCTCATGGAGGAGCAGATCCAGCTTCGAGCTCGTGGGGCCTGCAACATCATCGCATTGTGAGTGTGGAGGATGTTGGGTGCACGCCTACTTCGACAATCGTCATTAGGCGTGTAACAACACGTCGATTCACTGGTTCAAATGAATCGGATTCTAAGGTCTGTTGCTGGGCCCCATAGCTCTGTTTTGACAATGTGCCGTGAATGCTATTCCTGTAAGACTCATTCAGGAATTTATCCAAACGTTCCAGTGTAATGTACAAGCTCCTGAAAGGGGTTATTGAGACTCATACTTTAGTGTATCAGGATTTTCTGGATATGTAAAGGTCTGGCCTTGCATGTCGCACGCTACACAGAGGCGCCACGCGTGTTGTGGGGGCGGTACTGACGACCCACCCGTGTGCTCATTGCCTGATGCTGCAGACACTCTCCCGACGTGGTTTATCTGCAAGAGCTGGTGCCTCCCTACCTCGGCTACCTGCAGCAGCGAGCCACCAGCTACCACATCATCCCCGGTGTGTGGCTTAATCTGGCGGTGCCGCGGCCAGTTTCGTGAGCTCCGATCGGGACGTCGCGCTGCGCAGGGTTTGCGGTTGCGTGCTCGTAACAAACGTGAAGTGCGTAGTACTGCCGGTGCTGTGTGATGTGGCGATGTTGTACGATGGGGGTTGCGGTGATTGTGGGCCGCACTGTGCAGCTGATGAGCAGGGCTACTTCACTGCCGTGATGCTGAAGAAGTCTCGCGTGCGGCTCATCTCCCACGAGGTCATCCCCTTTCCTACCTCCGTCATGGGGCGCAACCTACTGGCGGTCAGGGTAAGCCCAGTGGCACCCTGCACCCAGCCATGGCTTGCAGAAACTATCACCCAACTATAGCAAAGTAGCATCCAGCAAGTAGCCACAGCTCTGACTGCAGCACCCAATGTTAGTAGCCAGTGCCTGTGGCAAGATATTATTTTCCTCGCCTCGTATGCAGGAGGACGTGGGCTCCACCCGGACCCTGACGCCTGTATATTTGGAGTTTCATGTTCTCCCCGTAGTCGCGTGGATTTTTCTCCGGGTCCTTTGGTTTTTCCTACCATATTTAGAAACATCCGTTTCCATGTGAAAAGCCACTTCGTTGAGCTATCATTTGTGGCCAGGTCACTTCTGAAAGAAAGCTATATAGCTCAGTGGGCTTTACTTGATAAAATATAAAGTTTCGTTAGTTTCGTAGTATAATCCATCAGCCAGCGACAGCACCATGCACACGGGTTCTACCTGTCTGCGTGCAGGCGGAGGTGTCGGGGGTGCCGCTGTACCTGCTGACGTCGCATCTGGAGAGCACCGTCTCGCACACCAAGGAGCGCGTGCGCCAGCTTCAGCAGGTGCTGCAGAGGATTGCGCTCGCGCCTAGCAACGCCACCACCATCTTCGGGGGCGACACCAACCTGAGGGACAAGGAGGCGAGTCCCACCCTCCTCCCTCCCCGCTGACCGCCCTGCCTGCTTACATTTGTGAACGGAATTAGTGGCAAAAGTATTCTTCGGCGAGTGTTATTTTTTTTTATTTTGGTCAACGATGACCGTGAGTGGATGAGAAATAATCAAGCGTGACGATAACTAAGACTGCTGCCTACCAAAGAACCAAAGCCCGACTGACAACGAAATGAACAAGTTTATTGTATCTTTCAAAACGTAAAATGAGCAACGATAATCACGATATGATATTTAGCAAAACAGACGACACGATTGCCATGGGACCTTGTACCATAATACACATACCGTAGTTTGGCCATACCGTGCCAACCCTATCCGACGCAGGTGGTGTGTCGCGATGCTTGAGGGCGGTGCCGGCGTGCGTGCAGGTGTCTCAGATCGGGGGGTTGCCCCCCGGCGTGGGTGACGTGTGGGAGCTGCTGGGCCGCCCCGAGGAGACGCGCTACACTTGGGACACCACCCTCAACGACAACCTCAAGCTGGGGGGCGCTCGCTCCTCCCGCCTGCGCTTCGACCGCCTCTTCTACCAGCAGCCGCTCACCGCTCGCTCGCCCGGACCTTCCAGCCCACCCGGTGGCGGCGGCGGCGTGGACGCCACGGTCGTGCCGCGCTCGCTGCGCCTTGTGGGGACCGAGCGTCTGGCGTGTGGGAAGTTCCCCAGCGACCACTGGGGGTTGCTGGCACACTTTGACCTGGTGCTGTAGGCGGTGGCGTGTCCGTTTAAGGCAGGCCCCCTTGACGCGCCACCGTGCAGGCGAGTGGCGGGCCCCGCGCGTGCATGCATGTGCGCGAGAATGTTTCATCTCCCCCGTGGTGTGTCGATGCGTTCCGTGTGTTCACCGCTTTGGTCACGACGTCACGATCGCGACGGGAATGGCGCAGCACGCTTCCCGGGTCCCACGGGGACCCGGCCACGGTTTTCTTGTTTCAGTAGCTGAACCACCATTGCCCTCCCCGCACAAGGCCTCCGCATGACACGTGTTGGCTGAAAGGGTCGTAGGCTGGCGTTAAGACCGTCGTTGTCTTTGAAATGTAACCTGCATTAGGTAAGGTACTTCATGTTTCCGAGTTCTGTACATTCCTTAGGCGAGGAACATGACTTTAAAATACACGCCCACCCTGGCTGTAGAGCGAGGGTATTAGTACAGTACACACGCGAAGGGTTTTAAAGTGGACAATCTTTTTGTTTTAGCCGATGCACAGGAGAACGTGACGTCAACAACGGAAAGAGTTGAGGATTGGAGACCAGCTGCGAATTTATTTTTTCGCCTGAAGGTGGGGAGATTTTGGTGAGGTGAGGGTATGTATGTGTCATGAGCGACTTCCGCGGCACGCCGAGTAGAGGGTACTCTTCTTTATTTCACATACGGGCACAACACAGGCCAACCTTCTCTTCTTGTATTTCCGAGTACACACTTAGATGTTAGCGTCCTTACAGACTACGCACACGGTCGATCATCCGGCGTGGTTCCATCCGTTCACTTCCGGCCTCGCCGCTGACTGATGGCGTGCCGGTAATGGCGGTGGAACTCCGCAGGAGATCCGCCACTTGGCTGAACGATGGAGAAAGATGACGGCGAGCAGCGACGCAGTCCGGACCCAAGACTCCACACACCGACCGAGTCCTCCACTTATATTGCCGCAGGCCCGGCTAGCCTCCGCCTCTGGAACCTTCCAGCGGGTTCCCGGAGTATCTCGGCTAGCCCCACCCCTTACCTTTGGCCCAGATATCTCTCCCTTTAGGATTGGATGATGTTTTAGTGGTGCCCGTACCCGTGCTTCCCTTTTCCCACCAGCAGGTGTCATCATATCATTACATCTGTATGTTGAACTTATTTCGCACTGTGCGTAGCCAACCGTGCTAAGGACAACAAACTAAACACAACAGTTCTCAAGAAATTAGTTCTAAATCTACATTTAAAAGTGCATAGCTCCAGTGGCTTCCTAATATCGGAAGGAAGAGCATTCCAGACGGCCGCAGAAACGCTTCTGAAAGCGCGCCATGCGGTGACCATCTTGGTTCGATAGCTCGGCAAAAGCCGCTGCAAGAATGACCGGAGTAGAGTGTGGCGATGAACGTTGGAAGTCGTGAAGGCACCAAGGAGCCTTCCAGTATTGAGGATTTGAAGTGATTTAGAGAGCGAGGAGCAGAAGGATTGACAGCTGAGGGGCACAGGGAGAAAAATGTTAACACCACGTAAATATTGTAACAAGTTTGAGCACTTTGTGAAGGAGAGGGCGAGCGTTGAGGTTTCTCCGTGGTTTAGTCTCAACCTGCCATGGGGTATTTGTTCGAGTTTCATGTTTTTTCTTTGAAATCCAAATAAAAAACGGTTCTGTTTGTATACACTGGTGCTGGGGTGGGTTAATTTGTCTGCATACGTCGTGTGAGATTGGATCTCAGACAGGACTTGACTGACGACCCGAATTCATCATCTAACTACCTTGCCTGCTATACAGCAGGTCGTGGATTCGATCCCGACCCAGACGCCTGCTGTATATTTGGAGTTTGCAGTGTCTCCCCGTGGTCGCGTGGATTTTCTCCGGGTCCTCCGGGTTTTCCCTCCACATTGAGAAACACGCGTTTAGAGTCTAGTATTGGGCTGCTATCAATTTCCACGTGATGAGCCACTTCGTTGAGCTATCATTTGTGGCCAGGTCGCTTAAAAAAAAGGAATATATCTCAGTGGGCTTGAGCTGGTAAAGTAAAACATAGTTTCATGGTTTACATCACGGGTATTGTAGCAGCGGTTCCAGACCTTTTCAACTCCACACATTTCGCGGAACCACCAAACGCTCGCTGCTCTCGTAGTTATATTTGGAATTGTACATTTCCTTAGTGGGGGTGTTGTTAATATTTTACTTCTTTCCCGCGGACCACCAGGGGTGCGCGGACCGCAGGTTGAGTGCCTCCACATCCACCCAGTGATTGAAGAGGGCCACGTGGCTGCAGAATTGGTGAATTCGGGGAGCACGGCAGAAGGATGCAATCACCTTTGTCGGGCAAGGCTGTTGCTCTACTGGACATGTGATAAAGAGCTTCACAGCTCATCGGATTCCGCCGGTCTAAATAAAGGGATTCTGCTAATTCAAGGCACCATACCAGGCTCTACACTGCTCTGATGATTTTTTTGCTCGTGCCAACTTACCATGGGAATGGCTTGACATCTGGGAATGGTCGTCGTAGGGGCCATCTTACTCAGGGGAGGGATGGCCCGGGAGACGGCCATCTTACTCAGGGGAGGGATGGCCCGGGAGACGGCCATCTTACTCGGGGAGGATGTGGCCCGGGAGACGGCCATCTTACTCAGGGGCGGGATAGCCTGGGAGACGGCCATCTTACTCGGGGAGGATGTGGCCCGGGAGACGGCCATCTTACTCAGGGACGAGGACGGCCATCTTACTCGGGGAGGTGGCCCGGAAGACGGCCATCTTACTCAGGGGCGGGATTGCCCGGGAGACGGCCATCTTACTCGGGGAGGATGTGGCCCCGGGGCGGGGGGTGCCGGCTACCTCAGCCCTCACGTGAGCAGTGAACGATGGCGCAGAACGGAGTCTCGGATGGCGAGGAGGAGGCGACGGAGGAGAGAGCACGGAGCAGTCTCTCCGACACGCAGCCCCTGCTCCCCCGCAGCAATGTGTCTACCCCCGGTACGAGGCCACTCCCGTGTCACCATCGACACACCACGCCATCATTACCGCCCACTCCATGACCATCAACAACCACCTTCGTTACCATCATCATCATAGCCATCGATATCGCCATCATTCCCGCGATGTGGAGGTCTCGGCGCTGCTTCTTCCTGTACACAGTGGGGCGGTGTCGACTGGAGTGTCTCTCTATGCTCGGACTGCCGCCTCATGCTCATCAGTAGCGGCCTGTATGCAAGTACTGATCTGACGCGAGTACTGTTGTCTTAATAGAACTGGCAGTCTTCTTCTTTTGTATGGCTAGTACTGTTGTCGGTAGGGGCCGTCCATAAATGACGTCACGCGATTTTGGACGATTTTTGACCCCCCCCCCCCCATCGTCACGCGCCCCCAAATATGACGTCACAAAGCTTTGCCCCCCCCCCCAAAATATATAAAACATGCTTCAAATCTCTTTAAACTATTGTCATTGTAGTGCGTATTTAATGTGGCGCTGCACTCTGATGTTGTAGGAGAAAACATTTATTAAAAAGTATATTTAATTAGGGAGAACGTGTTTATATTTATTTAAAGTTGTGCATTTTGATGTGACGTCACATTTCTAAACCCCCCCCCCCCCTCGTCGCACATCGTCACAAATGTCTGACGCCCCCCCCCCCCCCCAGGTGCGTGACGTCATTTATGGACGGCCCCTTACAGGTGCTGCCGCCTCTCAGCGTGGGCTTCGCTTGCCTCGGTTTCTGCAATGCAGTGTGTGTTGATGCCTCATGGTATGCACGTCATTGAGTCTGTATTGGTGCCTGTGGTGTCAGCGAGTCTACGGATATCTGTGTTATCAGTGACTGTACTCATATATGTGGTGTCAGCAACTGCCGCGATATCTGTGGTGTCAGTTTGCTGATGTCGCCGAGCCCTCGCTGTCGCCCGCGCATGCAGGAGCGCCCATGTGCTGCTCCGCACGCTACAACCTCGCGGTGCTCTCCTTCCTCGGCTTCTTCATGGTCTACGCGCTGCGCGTTAACCTCAGCGTCGCCCTGGTCGCCATGGTGAACCACACCACCGACGGCAACGTCACGGCCGCGTCGTCGTGGCACGCGGGCGACGTGGACTGCCCGGGGCGCGTGGTGGACAACGGCACGGACGCGGGGCCTGGGCGGGTGAGCGATGCCCTGCTCGCCGCCGTCTCTCCGCTCGCCCGCTCACTTTTTGCTCACTCCCACTCGCTCGCCCACTCACTCGTCCACTTTCTCACCCTTACTCGCCCACTCGCTCACACGACCACCCCACACTCGCTTGACCGCCACGCTCAACCGTTTGCTGCTGCAAAGGAACAGGAGCAAAGGAACAGATGTTTACTTTCCTTTCCTCGCGCGACCACTCACTCATCCACTTGCTCGAGGAATCTTGCTGTTCGCTCACTCACTCGTCCATCTGTCCACCCGCTCGCCCGTTTTTCTCACCAACTGGGACTATCTGCTCACTCACTCGTGCACCCACATATACTCTCCGCCCACCCGCTTGCACGCCCTTTCACTCAATCTCCCACTCGCTCGCCCGCTCGCAGGCCAACTCACTCGCTCGCTTGCTCGGTCGTTCGCTCACCCACACCTGCCTTCTGCTAACCTGCTCGCCCGTTGGTTTTGCTCGCTTCCCGCATCTTGTGCAGTCTGCTCACTCTGCTCGTCTCTCCAATTGCTTCGCTGCTACTGCCCTCTGCCTCTCCCTGCCCCTCCACAAACGGGACAAAGATGTGATTTCACAGGGTTCTGTTTATAGTTGTCTGTGGCTTATTTTGACACGCTCCACGTGATCGTAAGCCTTCTTCTCCTCTCACCCCCCCCCCCTCGTGTGGTCCTTGCTCAGGGACCAAAGTACAACTGGGATGTGAAGACCCAGGGCTGGATCCTCAGTGCCTTCTTCTATGGCTACATCATCACACAGGTGCGTGGTCGCTTAGCGGGACGGCACGGTGGGTGAGTGCGCATCCCCCGCTTGCTCTCCGCTAAATTACACGCCGGACACGAATGCCTGGAACACACCTGCATCACCATGCCACCCAACCACGCTATGCCACCATCACACCTGTTTGCAAGATGCCCTGCATGTAGGAACAGGTAGCGTGTGGTGGGGGGGTGCGCAGGTGGTGTAGCTGTTAAAGCGCTGCGCTACGAACCCGGCGGTCCGGGTTTGATTCCCGCGAACACCGGTGACGATTACCTGAACCAGTCCTGGGCCTTTCCTAGGTCGACTCGGCCTCAAATGAGTACCCGGTGCGGTGTGTAAACATCGGCACTTGGGAGACAAAGGCCGCCGGGCCTGGTGCTGACCAGCCACCCCCTCGTCGTGCCCCGTGCCAGCCTTTGAAAGTGTTCGCTAACAGTCTGTTGAGGCTATACGGGGGACCTTTGTCTTTTTGTGTGCGCAGGTGCCCGGGGGATACCTGGCCGGGCGCTACGGGGGGAAGATGTTGTTTGGGATCGGCGTCGCCTGCACCACGCTGCTGACGCTGGCCACGCCGCCCGCGGCGAGCTTCGGGGTCCCCTGGCTCATCGTGGTGCGCGTCATCGAGGGCTTCGGGGAGGTACGGGAGATCGCGGAGGCTCCGAGGGGAACGCGGCACAGGGAGGCTCGCACAGATACGCGGAGACACTGGGGATGCATCCTCTTTGGTTCTTTCGGTAAAGTCATATAGGTGGGAAAATAAATAAACTCACGACGTTTCGGGCGCAACACAAGCGCCCGTCATCAGGTGGGACACAACAGAAACAACTGCTGAACTGGGCAAGACATCTGCAGTGAAACAAGACGCTTTATAAATAAGAGAGGGGTGGGAGGAGCCAAGGAGGAGATACAGAGTGGGGGGTGCCTGGGGCGGGGCACAGGGAGATCAAAGAGAGAAAAGGGAAGACACTTAACATGTTGCAATGGACAACATGACACTGGGGATGCAACCGGGGGAGGGGGTTGGTTACGCAGAGATACCAGCGCACACAGAAACACACGGGGAGTTGTTGGGTCTTACAAGCGGATGTAGAGATGTCTTTGTACGTGTCTGCATCTGCCCGTACGCAGGGAGCCACTTTTCCCACCATGCACGCCATGTGGGCCCACTGGGCCCCGCCGCTGGAGAGGAGCCGGCTGCTCACAATCTCCTACGCCGGTGGGCGCCCCCCACGCCTCGTCCCCCTCACTCCATCCCCTCGCTCCCCGCTGCTCCCCATGTGCTCAAGCTTACTGGGCCAGTTCTTCTGCCACTGCAGTCTTAGACCGAGTAGTGCCACTCTGTGCCTCCACCTCTCATGGTGACAGCCACCTGCTGGGCCGATGGACCGGCCCGCTAACTCTGCTGCACATCGGGACGCTGTCCGCTGACACTGGAGAATCCTCACACACACCCAGACACGAGACCACATCACCCGGACACTCCAATTCCTCCACTGGCTCCCAAACGAATCCCGGATCTATTTCATGGTTTGCACTCAGCGTGTTGAAGGTCTTCCATTGAATCGGCTGTGACTACCTCTCTTTCCCTTCTCATCTCACTCAACATCTTTATAAGCACTCTCCTACCGCTCTCATCTCATCTCACTCTACTCCCCTTCACGCACTCTCCTACCTCTCCCCTCTAATCTCACTCTATTCCCCTCCACACACTCTCCTACCTCTCATCTCACTCTACTCCCCTCCACGCACTCTCCTACCTCTCCCCTCTCATCTCACTCTACTCCCCTCCACGCACTCTCCTACCTCTCCCATCTCATCTCACTCTACTCCCCTCCACGCACTCTCCTACCTCTCCCCTCTCATCTCACTCTACTCCCCTCCACACACTCTCCTACCTCTCCCATCTCATCTCACTCTACTCCCCTCCACACTATCTCCTACCTCTCCCCTCTCATCTCAATCTACTCCCCTCCACACACTATCTCCTACCTCTCCCCTCTCATCCCACTCTACTCCCCTCCACGCACTCTCCTACCTCTCCCCTCTCATCTCACTCTACTCCCCTCCACACACTCTCCTACCTCTCCCCTCTCATCTCACTCTACTCCCCTCCACACTATCTCCTACCTCTCCCCTCTCATCTCAATCTACTCCCCTCCACACACTATCTCCTACCTCTCCCCTCTCATCCCACTCTACTCCCCTCCACGCACTCTCCTACCTCTCCCCTCTCATCTCACTCTACTCCCCTCCACACACTCTCCTACCTCTCTCCTCTCATCTCACTCTACTCCCCTCCACACACTCTCCTACCTCTCCCATCTCATCTCAATCTATTGCCCTCCACACACTATCTCCTACCGCTCCCCTAATTTTTTCCCATGCACTCTGCTGCAGCAACCAAGACGGCAGAATCCCCCAGTCAACCTTCGCTCCGTGGGAGGTCGCTCATTCTCCTCTGCTGCCCCCATCGTCTGGATCTCCTCCCCCCCCCCTGCTATCTGTACTATCGACTCCCTGCCCCTGCTCAAGTCCAAACTCAAGACGTTCCTCTTCTCCTCTGGCTATACACATTACGCCCCATTCATGTACATTGTCTTGAAATGCAGTCGCATCTAATTGCTGCGTAACTCCACACTGTAATCGTGTTGTTATTATACCGTGGAGGGGGGGGGGGGCTCTGTTATCGCCACAGGTGCTCAGTTTGGGACGGTCGTTTCTCTACCGCTGTCGGGCCTTCTCATCGACACCCTGGGCTGGCCGTCCGTCTTCTACATATTCGGTGAGTGCCGGGTCCATGCCAGCAGAGGCACCTGATCAGGAATTGGGTCACACTATACCCAATAACGGTGGCAGTGACGGAGTGGTGGTGTGTGGTGGTGGTGGTGTGTCATGGTGGCGGTAGTGGTGTGCGGTGGTTTGGTGGCAGCGGTGGTGAGCAGGTTGACGGTGAAGCTGGGTGGGTGATAGCGGGTGAGTGGGTCAGGTGAGTGAGTGAACGAGTACAAAAATGAGTCGAGCGAGTGACACTACGTAAGTGAGTGCGAGTGAGTTAGTGAGGCAGGGTGGGGGTAAGCGAGTGACTGAGCGAATGAATGAGTGAGCGAGACAGTGGGTGAGTCATGCTCGGTGGGTGGGAGTCAATGAGTGATTGAGCGAGTGGGTGAGTGAGTGAGTAGATGATGCTCTGTGGGACGCGAGTGAGTGACTGAGCGAGCGAGCCAACGAGTGAGTGAGCGGGACAGGGCCTCAGTGACCTTGGGTGGGTGCGGCAGGCGGGCTGGGTGTGGCGTGGTGCGTCCTGTGGTTCCTGCTGGCCTGGGACACCCCCGACAGCCACCCACACATCTCGGAGCAGGAGAGGAGCTACATCAAGGACTCACTTCGGCACATGGAGGTGTGAGCACACGAGCGGGTGTGACTTGGGCGGTGGGTGTGTACGCGCAGCGAGCTATCCATGGAGTGAGCACCTGGCAATGAATGTTGGTGTGCAGATGGGCCTGTGCCTATATGTGTGTGTGTGTGTGACCACACACAAAGGCACGGGGGGAGCGGTGGCACAGTGGTTAGCACGCTACGCGACGAACCCGGTGACCCCAGTTTGATTCGAGCTCACGACCAATGAGTTTGGCCGCCCCTAGAGTATCCGTTTCGCACGGTTGACTACGCACGTTGCGAAAGAAGTTAAACATACATGGTGTGGTGTGTAAACATCAGCACTGGGGAGAGAAAAGGCGGCCATGTGCGATGTTGACCACCCCGCCCCTTCGTGCGCCGTTCCGGCCTTCGCAGGTGCCACTCGTTAACGGCTACGACTGTCGTCCTATTCGCAGCATGGCGAGGGTCACCGGCGTGTGCCCTGGGGGAGCATGGCGCTGTCCCCGCGCCTCTGGGCCATCATTGTCGCCCACTTCTGCTACAACTGGGCATTCTACACGCTGCTCACGTGCCTGCCCATGTACATGAACGACGTCCTGCACTTCAACATCAAGAAGGTGCTGCCCACCGCCCCCGCCCCCCCCCTCGCCTTTCAGCTCCGCGTGCACGTCGCTCCCCTTCCGTCGTGTCGGCCGATTAATTTTGCCCACGCCTGTAAAACGTCTGCAGGTCACCAGCATTGGTGCAAACAAGGCTGATTCTGCTGGTGAGACACCCCCTCGTGTGCCATGTCAGCCTTAACAGGTGCTCGCGAACAGCACTTGCCCCAACAGTCGGTGTATGTTTATGTTGTTTATTATGTTTATTATCAGCTAACACCGGCCACAACCCCGAGTCGATGTGCACCATTGTTCTCTTTTAGCCCCCCCCCCCCCCCCACCGTTCGATTCCCTGGCTACCACATTCAGATAAGCCCCTCCCCCCCCCCCCCTCCCCCTTAACTTGTATTTAAGAGCTTGTCTCTTGGATTTTTCCTCACTTGAGACAGTAAATTTAGCTGTGACGGTCCCACCTGATGACGGAGACTTGTGTTGCCTCCGAAACGTCGTGATTTATTATTTTATTTCTATTATCTATTATTTTTATTTTTACCTACGTGACTTTACCGAAAAAAACCTAAGAGTATGAATCCTTGCAGTCACGAAAGCTTCAAATCTAGAATTAAGTCGGTGTAGGCTATACGGGGGGCGGGGATCTTTGTGTTTGTGTGAGCAGAACGGGCTGCTGTCTGCTCTGCCCTACCTGGGCTGCTGGCTGGCCATGGTGCTGGGAGGACAGGTAGCTGACCACATCCGCATGCGCCACCTGCTGTCCGTGACAGCCACGCGCAAGGTCTTCACCACGCTGGGTGCGTTCTCTCCGTCACATTCATGATCACTCTTACTCTCCCGCCAATCATTCTCGATCACTCGTTCTGTCTGTCACTAATTCGCTCCGTCATTCATTCTCTCTCTTACTCATTCTCTCAGTCACTCGTTCTCTCCATCACTCATTCTGCTTATCACTCATTCGCTCCGTCACTCATTCTCTCTGTCACTCCTCTCTGTCGCTAATTTTCTCCACTCATTCTCCCTGTCACCCATTCTCACCGTCACCCATTCTCTCCGTCGCTCGCGATTCGTGACTTGCGTCCGTCCCTCGCCCTCACACTCGCCCTCTCGCCCGCTCCAGGCCTGCTGGGCCCCGGCGTGTTCCTGGTGGCCACCGGCTTCGTGGGCTGCAACTACACGCTGGCGGTCGCCTTCCTCACCCTCTCCTCCTCCATGGGGGGGCTCAGCATGTCCGGCTTCAACATCAACCACCTGGACATCGCGCCACAGTGAGGGCTGCACACCGGCATGCGCCCGCCGGCACGTGGGACCGCCGCGCGTAGTCGGCGCTCGCCAGCGGGTCGAGCTCGTGCGTGTGTGACGTCACCGCAACTTAGTGGCAAATAGCGGTTGTTGTACAGTATAGTGGGGAGCGGTAGTGTAGCGGTTAGCGTGTTGCACTATGAACCCGGCGACCTGGGTTCGATTCCCGCTCACGGCCAACACCAGTGACGATTAGCTGAACCGGTCATGGGCCTCCCCTAGGTCGACTCAGCCTCAAATGAGTACCTGGTGCGGTGTGTAAACATTGCCACTGGGGAAACAAAGGCGTTCGGGTGTGGTGCTGGCCACCCACCCCCTCGTGTACCGTTCTGGCCTTCATAGGTGCTCGCTAACAGCACTTTCCCCTAAAGTCTGTTAAGGCTATACGGGGGATCTTTGTCTTTGTACAGTTATGTGGTTAGCGCACTGCGTTATGAATCTGGCGACCCGAGTTTAATTTCCGCTCACGACCAATAACAGTGACGAATATTTGAACAGGTCCTGGGCCTATCCTAGGTTAATTCAGCCTTAAATTAGAACCTGGTGTTGTGTGTAAACAACAGCATTGGGGAGATAAAAGTAGGCAGGTGTGGTGCTGGCCACCCACTCCCCTCATGTGCTGTGCCGGCTTTAATAGGTGCTCGCGAACAGCACTTGCCCCAACAGTCTGTAAAGGCGACATGGGGGTATCTTTGTTTTTCTGTACAGATATGCTGGCATTCTCCTCGGCATCACCAACACGTTTGCCACGATCCCCGGCTTCCTGGGGCCTCTGGTCGTAGGGTACCTGACCCCCGAGGTGAGAGGTCACTTCCAAGCCCATCCATCACATGATGACAAAATAAACAATGTCTCCTTCACATGTCCATCTCTCCACGTTAAAGTATTTTTTGATACAACCCATCAGCCATATACGGCCTTTAGGGAATGCAAAATAACAGCGGCGTCGTTTCAAGACGAGCAAACTGTGGACCGGTTTCGCCGTACAATGCCTCAGGCTTACTTGAATCAGTCAGAATCAGAATATGTATTTATACTGGAGGAATCCGATGAGCTTTCAGCTCTTTTACACAAATGCCCAGTAGGGGCACGGGGTCAGAACGTTACAACAAACAATGCAAAAACACGATAGGAGTGCAACGTATACTGATGAACGGCCGATCTTAAGAGGAAAGGAGCCTAACCCTTAACGATAATTGTCACCGTGAAATCGCCGGTCGCGGCGAAGTTCCGCGAAGCTGTGGCGCTGACGAGCTCGCTTTACCCGTGCGTGCGTGTGTGCAGCACTCGCTGCCCGAGTGGCAGACGGTGTTCAACATCGCGGCGAGCGTGGACGCGTTCGGGGCACTCGCCTACCTCGTGCTGGGCTCCGGGGAGCTGCAGGATTGGGCCAAGGACCTGCCGATTCACACGCACGCACAGTGATATCACGCAACACCACGTACGCACAGTGATATCACGCACGCACCACCACGCACGCACAGTGATATCAAGCACGCAACACCACGCACACACAGTGATATCACGCATGCATCACCATGCATGCAACACAACTCACGCATAATGATATCACGCACGGCATACACAGTGATATCACACACGGCATGCACACAGTGATATCACACACACAACACGTGCTCGCACCTCACGCAAACGCACGGACAGCGATATCACACACAGCACGCACACAGTGATATCACACACACGTCAAACCCACACATCTCACACGCACGCGTGTGCAATCGTAGCCCGCACACGTGACCTCCCTGCGTGGGCGCAGGGAACCTCCATAAGTGCCTTGATTGTTTACACTACGCCCGGCTGTGAGACGTGGCGGGGGGAGACGCCGCACTTGATCGGCTCGGCCGAGACTGCTGGCGGTGGTTGTGGTGGTGGGGAGACCGCTGCCCTCCACCCACCCCTCACCCCCTCACCCCTTCACCCCTTCACCCCTTCACCCCCTCACCCAGTCGTGGGAAGCCCTGGGCAGCCACGGGAGTGATTGTCTCGCGCTGGTTGTGCTGCCGTACGCCGAGCCAGCACCGATTCCATGCCCACTCAGCCCAGCCGTGGGCTGGCACATTAAGAGCGAACAGGGTGAATGAAGGGGGTGGGCGGACTGCGGGGATACACAAAATGCCCCACATGGGGAGGCTGTAGTTGGTGTCGAGAGTAGGGCTGGTGCTGCTTGTGTCTTTGGCCGGTGTATGATTAGGGGTAGGGTCTGGTTGGTTGGTGTATGGTTATGCGTAGGACAGTGTTCTTCACTAATGTTCAGAGAGGGGGGGCCCACTTTCGCCGATAATACATAAGTGTGAGGGCCGCCACACATTTAAAACCATTGGGGTTTGACAGCACTATGATGGGGGTGTTTTCCCATTTGTGTATTGTCGGCGGCCGCACTAAAGGCCACGAAGGGCCGCCAGTGGCCCTTGGGCCTTGCAACGAAGAACGCTGGCGTGTGGTCTGGTCGCGAGTGCGGTGTGGTTATTGACAAGGATTGCTTGGCTGGTGGGGTAGAGTTAGAGGTTGACACGTGGTCACCGGTCACTGCTGAGGTCAGCTCTGCCGTCACTGCCGAGTGAGCGACGCCTCCGCCACACGCTGCTCACGGCCGTGTCCGCCAAATCGCCACGGTTTTTTTTGTATCTTCAGGCTTTTTTAATCTTAAAGAGGTGGAGATAAGGGATTCGGTATTTGTTTGATGATATTGCACTTTTCTGCGGCTCGGATGAAAGGGCCTCTCCGGCTAACCGGGGTGGGTGCTGTTTACCGTGTCGCCCGCGTGATTTTGTCCGTCGATTTCTGTGCGTGCCGGTTGCGATCGTCAGCTCGGCCACTCTTTCTAATAATAAATGACACTCCCTTGGTAATAATGCCTGATGCGTGGAGCCTCACTTCAGCAAAGCAATTCGCCGTCACCCTGGTATGAGGCTGGTGGGGTGGGGGGGCATGTCATGAATCGAAAAGTGCCCACCCACCAAGACTTTTCAAACCCGAGATCGCTGTTCACGCAGCTGGAACGTTGGGACTTTTATTTAAAAGCGTTGATGAGAACCGGCTTCAGAAACCCGCAGTGACCACGCATGAAAAGTGCGGTCAAATAGCCCCCCACGACCCGCACGGGGTAGGGGGGCCCTCATCCAGCAGTGGATTGAAAGAAGAGCTTCATAGCTCATCGGATTCCTCCTGTCTCTTTGAAGAGAGACCTTGGTGGCAAAGCCGCAGTAAACACGCCGTCGGCATGTGGTCGGGATCGTACAAACGTTGACCCAACATGCCATGTCAACTGGGAGGTACCGCAAAGAAGTGAAATAGATTTTTTTAATTGGACAAAAATGAAACGGTGAATAACCATTAACATTAGAACATCGAGCCTTGCAGTGACAAGGTGACTGAGCAGCGCAAAGATTTGAAAGGCAAAGCCCATCGCTCTTAAAAACGAAGTGAAAAACGCCCTATAGCGTTCTGTCAAAAACATCTTCCCGTCCCCCTAGTGCCCGATTAGCGCAGCCACGATGCACGCGGCCACGGGTGAACCTCGCGGAGTGGCGGGGCCGTCCGAAATGAAACCGCGGGTTCAGCGGCCCTGGCGGGCCCGCGGGCTGTGGGTTCAGTGGCCCTGGGGGGCCCGCGGGCTGTGCGTTCAGTGGCCCTGGGGGGCCCGCGGGCTGTGGGTTCAGTGGCCCTGGGGGGCCCGCGGGCTGTGGGTTCAGTGGCCCTGGCGGGCCCGCGGGCTGTGGGTTCAGTGGCCCTGGGGGGCCCGCGGGCTGTGCGTTCAGTGGCCCTGGGGGGCACAGCGCACCCGGCAACTCCGGGGGCTCCACACGCGTCCACGTGGAGGACCACGTGACCATGTGTTGTACCCCCACCCCTGACACACGGGAGGGGGGGGAGACCACGTGTGTCCCCCCCCACCACTGACACACACACGGGGAGGGGGGGACCACGTGTTCCCCCCCCCCACCACTGACACACACACGGGGAGGGGGGGACCACGTGTTCCCCCCCCCCACCACTGACACACACACGGGGAGGGGGGGACCACGTGTTCCCCCCCCCCCACCACTGACACACACACGGGTAGGGGGGCGGGGCTGCGCGCCCCCCACTCCTGGCGCGTCTCGCATCTGAAGCGCCGTTGGGAGCCGGAAGTCGGCGTCTCCCCCCATCATGCTCCGCGGGGAGGAAGCAGCGGCGTCGTGTGTCATGGCGGACAGCGAGGAGGCGTCCGTGTCGGAGTCGGCGTCCCGCGGAGGCGGCGCGGAGCGGCTCTCCTCGCTGCCGCTCTCGCGCGTCAAGCTCATCATGAAGAGCTCGCCAGACGTGTCCTCCATCAGCCCCGAGGCGCTCTTCCTCACCGCCAAGTCCACGGTGAGCGGACCGCTCGAGACCCCCCCCCCCCCATCCTTCTTTGGCCTAGCGGTTCTGCGGGCCTGGACTCGCCGAGGTCGGTAGGGAGTGACTAGGAAAGTCCGGTGAAGCGCGTGACGCCCGTGCCTGCCTCCCTCCCGCCTTGTAGGAGCTGTTCGTGGAGCTGCTCGCGCGGGAGGCGCTCGGCGTCGCGGAGCAGGAGGGGGAGTTGGAGTACGCCGACCTGGCGCGGGGCGTGCGGCTCAGCGAGACGCTGCACTTTCTGTCCGGTGCGCCCCGCTCCCCCCCCCACCTTCACGACCCCCCCACCACCCCACAACCTCGACCCCCCCCCACCACGGCCCCCCAACCTCCACCCCCCCCCACCTCCACGACCCCTCACCACCCCACAACCTCCACCCCCCACCTCTACAGCCCCCACCACCCCTCCAACCTCCACCCCCCCCCCTCCAACCTCCACCCCCCCCCCCTCCAACCTCCACCCCCCCCCACCAACCTCCACCCCCCCCCCACCTTCACGACCCCCCCACCACCCCTCCAACCTCCACCCCCCCCCACCAACCTCCACCCCCCCCCCCCACCTTCACGACCCCCCCACCACCCCCCCCCAACCTCCACCCCCACCTCCACGGCCCCCCCCACCTCCACGACCCCCACCACCCCTCCACCCACCTCCACGACCCCCCCCCCCACCACCACGACCCCCCCCCACCACCACGACCCCCCCACCACCCCTCCAACCTCCACCCCCTCCACCTCCACGACCCCCACCTTCACAACCCCCCCCCCCCCCACCTCCACGACCCCCCCACCGTCTCCATGCGTGGAGGTGCCACGATGTCAGTTGTCACGATACCTACGATCATACATAACCGTGATCAATCCACCTTTGGATGAAGTCCTCCCCAAGTCGTTAGCATCACTCACGACATCAAATTTAACGATGCCGATCAGCGCGATATAACTTTCCGATAACTTTGTAGTTGTACTTCGCAATTTTACATTTTAGTTGTTTGTTTTGCTTCTCTCCTGCACGCAATCCCCCCTCCCCCCCCACTGGCAGACATTCTACCCGAGAAAATTACGGGCCGCGAATACTTGGCGCTGCTGGAGTCGCAAAAGAAGGTGGCAGAGGAGAAGGAGGAGAGGGATGCGTGAGCGGTCTCCTGTGAACCGTGCGTGGCAGCAGCCTGGAGTGCGGAAACCTGAGCTGACCCCGCGTTCGTGACGCCCGAACTAAACTCGTGGCCGTGACCTTCGGATGCAAGGACACGTGGCCATGCAAACACCGCGCGCCACTGCGCAGGGAGCCAGCGTTTACAGACTCTAATGATAATTGACACAGCCATGCGTGTGTGTGTCCACGCAGTCCTCAGGAGCGAGTGGGCAGCTTGTTGATCGAGCGTTGAGGTCGGAGAGCAAGCGGTGAGATTCGTGAGCGAGTTGTGTGCTCGGTGCGCTCGTGGTGAGGTCGGTGAGTGAGTGGATATGTCGGTGAGCACGTGGTGAGTTGAGTGAACGAGTGTCCCATGGGATGACGGAACCTCTTCGACTCCCGGGAGCCGAGTGGAGTGGCGCAGCCAAACGCGGCGCTCCCCCAGCGTCCTCCGCTCTTCGCCTGGGACTTGTTTATGCTCGTAGCCTCGCTATGAATTTTGTGCTCTGAATGTGGAGGGTAAATTTGTTTTACAATACTCGTTTTTATAGTTCCGTTAAAAGTAAATGCATTTTGTTAAGTTTTGTGTTGGGTTTTGGATTTTCTTTTGTTGGTGACATGGTTGGCAACATAGGGTGCGAAAGAAGTTTAACGTACATGACCCCATTTACATATCAACCGTTTAAACCAAAAACATTTCAACGGACAGATTTCTTCCCTGCAGTGGGTTACAACTTGCAACTTTTGAGGAATACATAATTTTCTAACCTGGTTTTACAGGGCTGGTTTATTTGAGGGTATGGGCAACTTTTCTTTACTGGGGGGGGGGGTGGGGGGAATATATAAAACTTTCAAACACCTTTGGTGAGTCCACGAATCAAGACACAGTCTCTTCTGTCACTGCAAGAGGCCCTTTCAGCGGCAGAAGGAACACAATTGTGTTTTGTTTGTTCGAAAATATTCCCCCCCCCCATAAGTATCCGATTAGTTCAGCTAAGGTGCTCGTAGTGAAGGATAAATATTGTTGCAGGCAACTCGGTGGTCAGAGCACTCAGCCTGCACTGTTGAGTTCCTGGGTTTGAGGTGAGGCAGATGTCGGTGATTAAATTGGGTTCTCAAGTGTAGCAAGTTTGATGGTCTCATCATGTTAACGAATGATTTAGCACAAATATGACATTTGTTTCATCACTTGACTAAGTTCCATCGCAATGAGAGCTCTAAATTTCATCTTAACTGACCTCGGTAGTCCAGTTCAAATTACTCCAAAGGTAGTTTTGTCACGTAATTTTTTGGGCCATTCTCTGACACGGGGCGATGCACACCGTTCGCTGTAAAAATGAAGAAAAGCTCTCTCGAAGGTGGTGATGGGGAGGAAAAGAATGCAAACGCAAAGTGAGAACACTGCAGCAACAGCGCAGCGGAATGCTCGGCCCTTATTGGCTAAAGAACGAGTGTGAACTCCCACGTGTTGTCGAACCTCTGTCCAGAGTTCCTACACACACTTCCACCTCGGCGAGAAATCGGGAACCATGTGTGTGAACAGTTCGCGACGAATACTCAAAGATGTTTGAATGCATCGCCACCTTCAAACGATACTCGGCTGTGTTGATTTATTGAAATCGCTGAAGTGACTGAATCGTCGTCTCGGGGAGCCAGGAGTTTGCACCTCCTTATCCCCAGATCCATATTAGGTCTCGTGTAGCGTGGTCTGCATCGGCATGGCATGTAATTTCTCTCCCACCTCCCCTTCTCTGCGTCGCTCAGCCTGGGCCCAAACGACCCAAGTGCAATGTATTTGTTTAACCAGATGAGAAGTCTCAAAGAGACCAGGATGAAAGTCTCATTTACAACGGTGACCCGAACCACCAAAATTTCAAAAGCAAAAACAGAGGACAGCAATGGATAGGCAAACGCCACTACCGAGGGCGGTAAGTGTGACCCCGACAGCTGGGCCACCCGGTCGCCCGGTGCCGCAGGGAGGAGCAGAGAGGAGGCGGCGACTCCCACCGCCTTGATTCCGCAGTCGCGGGGGTTGCGGTGTTGTCGGAGCGTCGGGTCACGCGTCCGGTGATAACACGGGCCCCTGGTACGGCTCCCGCTCCACGGCGCGCGGTTGGTTCACCTGCACGCTGCGATCGCAGCGGCTCGCGTGAACCCCGGTTGGAGGTGGGGGGGGGTGCCGTCTGCTGCACTGCACGGCCGATTTCACTCAGCCGATGACCAAATCGCGCGGAATGCGGCCGATATATGGCCCGATCTCGGAAGCTTATCAGGGTTGAGTCTGCGTATTCATCGTGTGGGTGACCACCATGCAGAGAGGTTGTCATAGGCTGCAGGGGCTACGTGGAGTGCCGGGCAGCACGATCCATTGTAGGGAACTAGTGTTTTGACGTCTGATTCCTGCCTTCGACACACTGAGCAGCATGAAGCATGGTGAAACAACCCTCACGATGCACACGGCAGAAGGGGGACCTTCAAACAGCAGTGGGTTGACGTAAAGGGCTGTACCCATATTCTAATGCATCAATTAAACATTACATGTTAATATGCATTTTAAAGTTAATTTCATACGCACGTTATACTGCGTATTATAATGCACTTATATAGTGTAGCGCAATTCATTTATAATGTTCGCTTATATCCACCTTATCCAAACTTGTTTTTGCGTAAGACCCAAGCGGTGCAGCCCTGCAAACGTTACCCCCACCCACCAGAGATTATATTATTCTGTCAGTCATCCCTTTCTGTGTGCTGTAGGGTAATCGGTAACCGGTAAACCAGCAACAGCTTTTAGAATCGGTTACCGGTTTTTAAGAAGTCAGGAATCGTTTCCAAAGACAAAGATCCTCCGGATAGCCTGAGTAGACTCTTGGGGCAAGTGTTGTTAGCGAGCACCTATGAAGGCCGACACTGGCACACGGGGGGTGGGTGACCAGCACCACGCCAGACCACCTTTGTCTCCCCAGTAGCGATGATTTTACACACCGCACCAGGTACTCATTTGAGGCTGAATGAACCCAGGGGAGCCCCAGGACCGATTCATATCGTCACGTGTTGGCCGTGAGCGGGAATCGAACTCGGGTCGCCGGGTTTGTAGCGCAGCGTAACGCTAACTGCTGCACCAACGCTCCTCACGAATGCAATGCATGCACTGACACCCACGGAACGTGCAAACCGCACGGCGGTGTAAGTCACGGCGTGGTGAAACGTTTTGTTGCTTGACAAATCAGGACGTGCGGCAAACTGGTGTCCGCCTTTTTTATGCGGTCACCAGTACCGCAAAACAACGATTTTAACAACTCGAATTTTGGAATCGAGAAGGTAAAACGTGTTCAGTGTAAACATCAACTTCCAAGCAGTTGGGCAGGCTTTTGCCAATCCACTGCTGGATGACGGCGCCTCCCCATGCTGCCAATTACATGGGCTTGACCATACTTCACCGCGCTGGTCAGTACCAGTCGGTGAAGGGGGGGGGGGGCCCAGGCCGGGTTCAGATATCGCTCGCCGCCGATGTTCGCCGTCCCGTGGTTGCAGTTTTTTTTGTTCGGCACCGGTGCGTCGCCTACCCCTTGCGTAGGCGCCTACCTGGTCCTGCGCGCGTGCCTACCTGGTCCTGCGCGCGTATGCGCTGGTACGCGTAGTCGGGGAAGGCAGCCCGCGGCACGTAGCGGCCCGTTCCCCGCAGGTCCGGGGCCAGGACGCCCCCCTCCCAGACGACGCGGCCCCGCGATATCGTGACGTCGGCCACGCCGTGGCACTCCATGCCCTCGAAGATGTTGAAGTCCACGGCCTGGTGATGGGTGCGCGCCGAGATGGTCCTGGCGGGCACGTGGACACCAGCCGGGTTAGAGGGGGGGCGGGGGGGGGAATCCGGGGTTCGGTTTGGGGGTTAAGTCATCCTCGCCGTAGCGACTTTTGGCTGGCCATCGAACAATGACGGTTACACGAATCGCGCGCGTTCAGATGCGCTTCTGCGGCCGTCTGGAACGCTCTTCGTTCCGATATTAGTGAGCCACTGGCGTGATGGGAGTGGAGATGTCCCGCCACGTAGCGCAGTGTCTATTCCGAGCCCAAAAAGCAGCGCATTCCATAATACTGTCGAGTAATTCCCCTTTTTACGTCGTTTCGCAAATACGTCGCCCTTTGATCCATCCCATTCCCTGATTTGGGGCGCCTCGACCCCACACACGCACTTTGACCCCCCCCCCCGCTGTCCCCCACTGTTGCCCCACTCCCCCCGCTGTCCCCCACTGTTATCCCCCCCTCCCCCCGCTGTCCCCCATTGTTATCTCCCCCTCCCCCCGCTGTCCCCCATTGTTATCCCCCCTCCCCCCGCTGCCCCCATTCTTGTCCCCCCCCTCCCCCCGCTGTCCCCCACTGTTGACCCCCCCGCCCCTGCTGTCCCCCACTGTTGACCCCCCCGCCCCCCCCCCGTCGCCCGGGGTCACCACCTGGTGGCGTTGGGGTCCCACACGACGAGGTCAGCGTCGCAGCCCGGCGCGATGCGGCCCTTGCGCGGGTGGAGGTTGAAGATCTTGGCGGCGTTGGTGCTCGTCACGGCCACGAAGCGGTTCTCGTCCATCTTGCCGCTGTGCTGCTCGGACGCCCACAACGCTCGGGAGGGTCACCGATTTGAAACTAAAAAGTGGCCAGAATAGCGGTGGGTTGTTTTTTGGGGGGGTGGGGACAGGAGGGGCGGGGGTTGGATCGCGTTAAATATAAATGTGTCGTTAAGCTCGCTACCACCCGGCACATTTATATTTTGGCGATCTAACCCAAGATAAACTTCTTATGGATAACATTTGGTCGTGAATGCCTGCGTGTTCAACGAAAGAACTGCCAATCGGTCGGTCGGTCATTACTCAATGGCGGCGTCATTGAGTAATGTTTTGCGTTTTCATTTCGACCATGTCCGATCGTTAAAAGTAAACAATGTTTTTCTACATTTTATTTTACCAGGTAAGGCCCACTGAGCTGGACAGCTCTTTTTCAGGACCTGGCTATCACTAATGATAGCTCAGCGAAGTGGCTCATCATGTGGAAATGTATAGGAGCTAAACATTATGAACGCGTGATGTTGATTCTAAACGTGGAGGGGATAGAAACAGAAGGATCCGGAGAAAAATCCACGCGACCACAGGGAGAGAGACACGCAAACTCCAAATATACAGCAGCAGGCGTCTGGGTCGGGATCGAACCACAACCTACTTGCATGGCAGGCGAGGTAGTTAACATCTCCTAGCCACCGTGATTATGATGATGATGAGAGAGACACTGCAAACTCCAAATATACAGCAGCAGGCGTCTGGGTCGGGATCGAACCACGACCTATTTGCATGCCAGGCGAGGTAGTTAACATCTCCTAGCCACCGTGATTATGATGATGATGATGAGAGAGACACTGCAAACTCCAAATATACAGCAGGCATCGTCAGGGTCGGGATCGACCCCACGTCATCGTGCATACCAGGCGAGGTAGTTAACATCTCCTAGCCACCGTGGCCCGCGCATGGCACTCACCACGCCGCGCTCCCAGATGACGGACATGCGGTCCTCCACGCCGTTGACGCCGTTGGGGATCTTGGTGAAGTCGTCCTTGCCCATCGCTTTCTGGCACGCATTGAACGTGCAGTTGTCCGTGCCCGTGGTCGAGAGGTCGTCGCTGCACCACGCACCCGGTAACCGGGTTAACCCGATTGGGTGGTCGATCGGTTGCAGGTCGGTCGGTCAGTCAATCGGTTGGTCAGTCAATCAGACGGTCAGTGAATCGGTCAGTCGGTCAGTGAATCGGTCAGTCAATCAGTCGGTCGGTCAGTAAATCGGTCAGTCAATCAGTCGGTCAGTGAATCGGTCAGTCAATCAGTTGGTCAGTGAATCGGTCAGTCAATCAGTTGGTCAGTGAATCGGTCGGTCAGTGAATTGATCGGTCGGTCAATCAGTCGGTCAGTCAATCAGTCGGTCAGTCAATCGGTCAATCAATCAGAGTGTCGGTCGTTTAACGGTGAGTCGCGCGTCTGGTTGAGAGTGCAGTGACTGACTGGTGAATCAAGTAAGTTGCCTTGGGCAGCAGGACACTTTGCTCAGTGGGGCGATGACGGGGCGGGCGAGGACAATGTCCACCAGGGAGACGGACCGGTGGCATTAGCTTGCGGGGAGGCCTTCACCCAGCAGTGAATAGATCATGGCTGGTGATGATGATTAGTGACACGGGCCAGACATGGGACTGAGACCGGCCAGTAAGCTGGTGGTGACGGTAGTGGTGTTGCTGCTGCTGCTGCTGCAGACGATGGTTGTGTGGTGGTGGTGGTGGTGGTGCTAATCGGGATATTGCTGCTGGATGGTGGTGGTACTGAGAGCGGTGGTGTAGTAGTTAGCGCTACGCTGTGCTACGAACCCGGCTACCCGGGTTCAATTCCCGCTCACGACAACAACCAGTGACGAATATCTGAACCGGTCCTGGGCCTCAAATGAGTGCTTGATGCGGTATGTAAACATCACCACGAGGGAGACAAAGGCGGCCGGGCGTGGTGCTGGCCACCCACCCCCTCGTGTGCCGTGCCGGCCTTCATAGGTGCTCGCTAACAGCACTTGCCCCAACAGTCTGGTAAAGGCTATACTGTGGATCTTTGTCTTTGGTCCTGCTAATGTTGGTGTTGGCGGTGAGGGTATTAGTGCTGCTAGTGATGACGCTAGTGTTGCTCGTGATGGTGCTGCTGCTGCTGCTGCTGCTGCTCATGTCATCGTGGCGGTGAGCACGCAGCAGGCAATCCGCTGCTCACTTGGCGAGGAGGTCCATGAGGTATCCTGGCGTGGTCGGGTCCGGCCGCAGCGGGGGCCCCATGACGTAGGCGGCCGCGTGGCGCCAGTCGCGGTGCCAGTAGTGGGTGCCGTCCGTGCCCAGGCCGGCCGCGATCGGCTCCCCGAACACCACCTGGCCTGCGCGCGTCACGCCGGTCACACCTCGCTCGCTCGCTCGCCTGCCAACAATCTCGCGGAGAGGTTTGAGTCCCGGTTCCCAGGTCTCTCTTCCAACGGCCAATTCCCGACGATGCGCAGAGCAAAGGTGAAGACTCTTCTCACTCCGCCCTACGAGGGCTCTCGAAAGTTATCTGGACAGATTTGACCCCCGTCCCCCCCATCGGTGCCATCATCGCGAAGGCGTCGTTCGTCGATAGCCAGTGCCCCCCCCCCGTGTGTAACCCTCGAACTCGGCTCGGCACGATGCCCAGCTGTGTTCGACCAGCGCTTATTCTCTCTCTCTCTCTTATACTGCAGCTTCTCTACATCACCTTCCATTTGTCTCCCTCGTCTTTTCCTTCCCCTCTCATCTCACTCTACTCCCCTCCACGCATTCTCCTACCTCTCCCCTTTCACTCTACTCCCCTCCACGTGCTCTCTCCGCTCCAGCACACCAACGCTTCCTGTGGAAGCACCCAGTGAAGCTTCGCTCGGCGGGAGGTCGCTCTTTCTCCGGTGCTGTCCCCACCGTCTGTAACTCCCTACCCCCAGTCATCGGTTCTGCCGACTCTCTACCCCACCTCGACACACGCGTTTCATCTCTCTTATACTCCAGCTTCTCCGAATCCGCTTCTATTTGTTTTCCTCCCCTTTGCCCTACGATACGGAGGAGGTAGATTTTGTTGTTGTTGTTGTTGTCATTATTTTGCCGATGCACCCTGCCGCCCCTCCTCCGCGGCTGCTCGTTCACCTGCCCTGCGCGCGCGCGCGATGACGCCGGCGGCCGCCTTGCTCATCACGTGCACCACGTAGAGCGGGCAGCGCGCGCGCCCCGCGATCGTGATGGCCCGGTTCGTGGCCTCGGCCTCCACCACCTCGGGCCGGCACAGCTCGTGGCCTTCGGGCCCCGTGATGCCGCGTTCCAGCATCTCCTTCTCGCCCTGCCCGAGCAGCAGCAGCAGCAGCGATCATCAGCAACATCGTCATCAGCATCGCCAGCAGCAACGTTGTCAACAGCAGCAGTGGCGGAGTGACGGTAGCAGCGTGTCATACATATGTATGTTCTATTGTACCGTACGTAGCCAACCGTGCGAATCAGCAGCATAACCATCAGCAGCAGCATCTTTACCAACAACAGCATCAGCAGTATCGAGCGTCATATGTGAGTCATTCTACTCATTCTGCTCCCCTCCAAGCACTCTCCTACCTCTCCCCTCTAATCTCACTCTACTCCCCTCCACTCACTCTCCTACCTCACCCCTCTCATCTCACTCTACTCCCCTCCACACACTCTCCTACCTCTCCCCTCTCATCTCACTCTACTCCCCTCCACGCACTCTCCTACCTCTCCCCTCTCATCTCACTCTACTCCCCTCCACGCACTCTCCTACCTCTCCCCTCTCATCTCACTCTACTCCCCTCCACGCAGTTTCCTACCTCTCCCCTCTCATCTCACTCTACTCCCCTCCACGCACCCTCCTACCTCTCCCCTCTCATCTCACCCTAGCACCCTCCACGTGCTCTCTCCGCCCCAGAAACCAAAGGCATTCTGTGGAAGCTCCTCGTGGGGAGGTCGCTCATTCTCCCCGCGGTCGCGTGGATTTTGTGTCCGGGTCCTCCGTTGTTTCCCCAACATATAGAATCATCGTCCCGCGTTTAGAGTATTTTTTTGGCTGCTACTATTACATTCCTACGTGGTCAGCCGTTTCGTTGAGCTTATCATTTGTGAAAGCCGGGTCGCTTCTGAAAAAAGAGTTACACAGCTCAGTGGACATTAAACAAATCTGTTAAATATTTACTAATTAGATCTTGACTTAAAGCTTTCGTGACTGCAGGAATGCATATTCTATGGGCCTTTCGGTAAAGCCACGCAGATAAAAAAAAAACTAAATAAAAACATCACAACAGGGGAAGACGATTGTTTGTGTTGCGATCGAAACGTCGTGATATTTTCGTATTATTTTTCTATCTACGTGGCTTTACCGAAAGACCCATAGAATTACATTTTCCTAATTAGTTTAAAGGCCTCGGGGTCGGGGGGGGGGGCACGGGCTGTGAGTCACCCCGTGGCCCCCCAACCCGTGCCGCTATGCACGGCCCTGCGTACAGGGTGTAGCGCCCACAGCCGCTTGTGCCACGACAGGGGACTCCACATCCTCGGCCGCTGGCGCGTGTTGTGTTGTTGTTGTTGTTTTGCGGCGCTATTGGATAACGATGGGACGTGTCTCCATGTGGCGCGCCTCCTGTCAAAGGGTTTCACAAAGTTCGGGTCTGGAACTCGGGATAGAGAAGGTTGTCCACCACTTAGCAAATATACATTCGTGTTGTTTTAAATCATCACCATCGTCAGTTGTTATCAACGCGTGGTTTTGATATGAACGTGTCATCATTCTAAACTCGCCAGCTTCTTCATCTTCTGTAAAATCATCATCGCTGTCAAAATCATCATCGCTTTCATCATTCAAATCATCGTCATCATCACGGTATTGATCATCGCCATCATCATCATCACCATCGTCGGCACCATCATCATCGTCGGCACCATCATCACGACCATCATCATCACCATCGTCATTATCATCACCCTCGTCATCATCATCGTCATCATCACTCTCGTCATTATCATCACATCGTCGGCACCATCATCATCATCATCGTTGGCACCATCATCACGACCATCATCGTCACCATCGTCATGATCATTATCAGCAGCCACCACGACGGCGCTCCCCTCGTCACCTCGGCGATGAGGTCTCCGTTCTCGGCGTGAACTTGCGCAATGGCGCCGAGCTCCTTGCAGCGACGGAACACGGAGAAGAGTTCGGGGTCGCGCAGCATGAACGCCTCCCTGTAGGCCATGAACGCCTTGAAGGAGTTGACCCCCTCGCTACGCACCAGCACCCCCATCTCCTCGCTCACCTGCGCGCCGCGTCACCACCCGCGCACGCTCTCACCCACACGCGCACACCCTCACCCACACGTGCACACCCTCACCCACACGTACACGCTCTCACCCACACGCGCACACCCTCACCCACACGTGCACACCCTCACCCACACGTGCACACCCTCACCCACACGCGCACGATCTCACCCACACGTGCACACCCTCACCCACACGCGCACATCCTCACGCACACGCGCACACCCTCACCCACACGCGCACACCCTCACCCACACGCGCACACCCTCACCCGCACGCTCACACCCTCACCCACACGCGCACACCCTCACCCACACGTGCACACCCTCACGCACTCCTGGCCATCCTCCTCACCTGCTCGCTCCACCACGTGACGCCCACGTGCAGCGAGTAGTCGCAGCACACGTTGGGGTCGGCCCAGCCTCGCCACGTGCGGAACGCGTCGAGCAGAGAGATGCCCCGAGCCCCCAGGACGAAGTCCACGATCATCGTGGTGCCTCCAGCCAGGGCAGCCTGCCAACACCCCCCGGGGCAGCACCGAGTCAGCACAAATAAAAAAACTCAACGTGTTCATCAAACTACACTTTGCGTGTGGCCTTAAAGAAAAAAACGTATACAATAGGCGACGTTTCGGGCAGGGGCCCAAATAGAGTATTCATTTTGTCGCCTCTCTATGTGTTGTGAGGAAGAGAAAATTGCCCACAGCGTTATCGAGTATTTGTCTAAATGTACTTTTAAGGCCACACAAACACAGAGTGGTGCTGGTGGTTGTTGTTTGTGCACCACTGCCAACGCAGCAGCGTAAGCACAGAATAGCCAAAAGTCGCTACAATTAATTTATGCGTCACAATAGCGCATCTACATTCTTTAATAACGTCTCATTTGTCTTTATGCACACACAAAAACCACCCCCACTTAATAACAGCTCGCCGCTCTTAGAAGATGCAGTTGTACAAAGGCTCCGTCATCCTTGGTCAGGTGATGTCTGCCATCTCGTGGTAAGGTCTGGGGGGGGGGGGGGTGCGTGGGTGACGGGTGGAATGCCGCTCGTGAGGAGCGCGACAGAGCCGTGTCTAGGGTACACGGCGAATCGGAGCGATCGCCCCGGGCCCCGCACTTTGGGGGTGCCCCGCGCTTCGACGTCACGGTGTCGGATGTAACACTGCCGGATTAGTTTGAAGGCGTCGGGGAGTCCACACGGTGTGAGTTGGCCCGGTCCTCTGCACCTCCTCCCCCTTATATGGACAGCCCTGCTGGCAGGGTTATTATTCCCAAGCCTCCTCTCCCCCCTCCCCTACATCGTTTTACAACACAACTCAGCCGCTCAGAGGCACCAGGAGACGGAACACGCGCAGGGTAGAGGCGTCGCCTTGCCTCGCAGCGAGCGGGCCAGACGTTGAGCGGGCGCGCGAGGTGCACGTGTGCTGGACGCGTGTTCACGCGCCATGTGGTGGTGGTGGTGGTGTGTTGAGTGTGTGTTACGTATGTTCACGTGTAAGGAGAGTGTTCATGTGTAAGGAGTGTGTTCATGTGTAAGGAGTTTGTGCATGTTTAAGTCGGGTGTTCATGCGTAAGGAGTGTGTTCGTGTGTAAGGAGTGTGTTAGTGTGTAAGGAGTGTGTTCGTGTGTAAGGAGTGTGTTCGTGTGTAAGGAGTGTGTTCGTGTGTAAGGAGTGTGTTCGTGTGTAAGAAATGTGTTCAAGCGTAAGGAGTGTGTTCGTGTGTAAGGAGTGTATTCATGCGCAATGGTGTGTTCATGTGCAATGCACATGTTCGCGCGCAAGAAGTGTGTTCATGTGCATGGCGGGTGTTCATGTGTAGCGAGGACGTTCATGTGAAAGGCTTGTGTTCGTGTGTTCACGCGTACGGAGTGTGTTCATGCGTAGGGAATGTTTTCGTGCTTAAAGGGTGTATTATTGTGCAAGGAGTGTTTTCGCGTGCAAGGAGTGTGTTCACGTGTAAGGAGTGTGTTCATGCGTTAGGAGTGGTAAACACCGTCTGTAAGGGAGCCACAGCACGATGCTTTAATTAATTAAATAACCCTGACCCAAAATTAGCCGCGGAGCTCGCGTGTCCGGATAGGGTTGGGGGTGGGATGTGAGTGGGTGGGTGAGGGGCTGAGGAGCGGTGGCGCAGTGGTTAGCGCGCTGCGCTACGAACCCGGCGTCCCAAGTTCGATTCTCGCTCACGCCCACCACCAACACCGGGGACGATTAATTATCTGAACCAGTTCTGCCCCCCCCCCCGAGGTCGACTCAGCCTTAAATGTGTACATGGTGCAATGTGTAAGCATCGGCGTTGGGAAGACAAAGGCGGCCGGGCGTGTTGTTGGCGACCCACCCGTTCGTGTGCGCCGTTCCGGTATTCGTAGGTGCTACTCGCTAACGGCACTTGCCCCAGCAGACTATTGAGGTTATACGGGGGATCTTTGTCTTTGGAGGAGGTGGAGGGGGTGGTAGTGGATTCCATCTGCAGGACCGTGGGGATGGGAGTGGGGCTGGCGATGAGGGGCCCGGGCAGGGCTGTCCATAGGAAGTGGGGTGGGGGGTGGGGGGGTGACCACGTGTGGACCCCCCCCCCCCCCACAACGCCTTCAAACTACTAAATCGTAAGTATTACATGTGACTCCGTGACGTCATCGAAGCGCCCCCCCCCCCTCTATACTCAAAGCGCGGGGCCCGGGGCAGTCGCCCCGATTCGCCTTCATCCGAGGGACGGCTCTGGGTCTGGGGTGCGGTTGGGGTGTCTTATCTCGGCGGGCGGGGGGAGTGAGGGGGGGGGTGAGGGGGGGGTGAGGGGGGGGGTGATGGGGGGGGTGAGGGGGGGGGAGTGAGGGGGGGGGGAGTGAGGGGGGGGGAGTGAGGGGGGGGGGGAGTGAGGGGGGAGTGGGAGTGGGGGGGAGTGATTGTTGGGGGAGTGAGGGGGGGGAGTGAGGGGGGGGAGTGAGGGGGGTGATGTGAGAGGGGGGGAGTTAGGGGGGGAGTGAGGGGGGGGGTGAGGGGGAGTGAGGGGGGGGGGAGTGAGGGGGGGGGGAGTGAGGGGGGGAGTGAGGGGGGGGAGTGAGGGGGGGAGTGAGGGGGGGGAGTGAGGGGGGGGAGGTGAGGGGGGGGAGTGAGGGGGGGGAGTGAGGGGGGGAGTGAGGGGGGTGAGGGGGGGGGGGGGGGGCGGGGGGTGAGTGAGGGGGGGGAGTGAGGGGGGGGAGTGAGGGGGGGGAGTGAGGGGGGGGAGTGAGGGGGGGGAGTGAGGGGGGGGAGTGAGGGGGGGAGTGAGGGGGGGGAGTGAGGGGGGGAGGTGAGGGGGGGGAGTGAGGGGGGGGAGTGAGGGGGGGAGTGGGGGGGGAGTGGGGGGGAGTGAGGGGGGGGTGAGTGGGGGGGGGAGTGAGGGGGGGGAGTGGTGAAGGGGGGGGGGGGGGGGAGGGGGGAGAGGGGGGGGAGGAGGGGGGGAGTGAGGGGGGGGAGTGAGGGGGGGGAGTGAGGGGGGGGAGTGGGGGGGGGAGTGAGGGGGGGGAGTGAGGGGGGGAGTGAGGGGTGGGGGAGTGAGGGGGGGGGAGTTGAGGGGGGGGAGTTGAGGGGGGGGGACGTGACGGGGGGGAGTGGGGGGGGGGAGTGACGGGGGGGGAGTGAGGGGGGGGGAGTGAGGGGGGGGAGTGAGGGGGGAGTGAGGGGGGGGAGTGGGGGGGAGTGAGGGGGGGAGTGAGGGGGGGAGTGAGGGGGGAGTGAGGGGGAAGTGAGGGGGGGGGAGTGAGGGGGGGAGTGAGGGGGGGGAGTGAGGGGGGGGAGTGAGGGGGGGGAGTGAGGGGGGGAGTGAGGGGGGGGAGTGAGGGGGGGGAGTGAGGGGGGGGGGAGTCCGCTCACATCGCACACCACGCTGTCAGTCACGGCTACAATCGTCTACACCGGCTCGCGGAAAAAAAATACCAAATCGCTGAGCACCAACCTCATTGCTTTATTTTGTTATTCATATTCTTGTTCTCTGATTCCCATAATCTCCGTCACCTCTGATCCCCCTGTTCTCTGACCTTCCCCCTACCACGATCCTCCCTTGACCCTCTGGTAGCTCCCACCCCCCCTCCCCAGGGCTCACCCTGGTGCCGTGGTAGCTCCCCCCCACCCCCCCTCCCCAGGGCTCACCCTGGTGCCGTGGTAGCTCCCCCCCACCCCCCACCCCTCACCCTAGCAGCTCCCCCCCCCACCCCTCACCCTAGCAGCTCACCCTGGTGCCGTGGTAGCTCCCCCTACCCCTCACCCTAGCAGCTCCCCCCACCCCCCTACCCCTCACCCTAGCAGCACGCCCCCACCCCCCCACCCCTCACCCTAGCAGCTCACCCTGGTGCCGTGGTAGCTCCCCCCCCCCCTAGGGCTCACCCTAGCAGCTCACCCTGGTGCCGTGGTAGCTCCCCCCCCCCTAGGGCTCACCCTAGCAGCTCACCCTGGTGCCGTGGTAGCCCCCCCCCCCCCTAGGGCTCACCCTAGCAGCTCACCCTGGTGCCGTGGTAGCTCCCCCCCCCCTAGGGCTCACCCTAGCAGCTCACCCTGGTGCCGTGGTAGCTCCCCCCCCCCTAGGGCTCACCCTAGCAGCTCACCCTGGTGCCGTGGTAGAAGTCGTCGACGGCGCGGGTGCCCATGAAGGGCAGCTCCATGTGCGTGTGCGGGTCGATGCCTCCGGGCAGCACGAGGCGGCCGTGCGCCCGCACGAGGCGCGCGCCGGGCGGCACGGGCAGCGCCGGCCCCACCGCGCGCACCACGCCGCCCTCGATGAGCACGTCCGCCTGCTCCGAGTGCTCCGCGTTCACCACTCGTCCACCCTGCACCACCACGACGCCCGCGTCGCTCATGGCGGCGGCGTGGGAGTCGGTGGGGGTGGGTGGGTGGGGGGGTGGAGGTGAGTGGGTCGGGGGGGTGACGAGGGATGGACTCGCGGAGTCTTCTGAGGGGTCGGAGTAGAATCCAAGGGGTGGAACACTCGAGTCGTCCAAGAGGTGAACTGCAATCCAAGAGGTGGACTAGAATCCAAGAGGTGGACTCTGGTGCGTGTGTTGAACTCGGCTCCGCGCTCTCCGTGTCTGCTGCGTGCGCGCCGGGAGGCGTCTGCGGGGCCAGGGGCCGTGCGCGGAGAGAGGGGGTCGAGTGGGAGAGAGGGTCGAGAGGGGGAGGGGGTCGAGAGGGGGAGGGGGCCGAGAGGGAAAGGGGGCCGAGAGGGGGAGGGGGTCGAGAGGGGGAGGGGGCCGAGAGGGAGAGGGGGTCGAGAGGGGGAGGGGGTCGAGAGGGAGAGGGGGTCGAGAGGGAGAGGGGGCCGAGAGGGGGAGGGGAACGAGAGGGGGAGGGGGTCTAGAGGGGATAGGGAGGGCAGTGGATGGAAGGGGGTTATGGAAGGGGGTGGGAGAGTCAGTGGAAGCTGCGCTGTGGTTTCGAGGGACACGGGAGGGGGGCGAGTGGGGGGGTTGGAGGGGTGATTGGTGGAGGGGTGGGGGGGTGGAGGAGTGGGGGTGGAAGCGTGGGGGGTGGAGGGGTGTAGAGGTGGGGGGGGGGTGTAGAGGGCAACTTCCAGATGCCAATACCGAGCCCCTGCCAGAGACCCCCTGGCGGGGCCCCTGTCTGCACACCGACCTCGACAGCCGGAACCTCAAACTTCGCATGAATCCAACCCCTACCGCTGCTCCATAACTCACCCCCTACACCCCACATACCCCAGCAGCCGGACCCCCTAACCGCGACGTCTCGCGACCCCCGCAGGGGTCCGGGTGAGATCAGGGGTCAGGAGTGAGATCGAGGTCAGGGGTCAGGAGTGAGATCGGGGTCAGGAGTGAGATCGGGGTCAGGAGTCAGGAGTGAGATGGGGTTCAGGGGTCAGGAGTGAGATCGGGGTAAGGAGTGAGATCGGGGTCAGGGGTCAGGAGTGCGATGGGGGTCAGGAGTCAGATGGGGGTCAGGAGTGATCTTCAACTTCAAGTCTCACCCCCCCCCCCCGTGTCTCCCTCGCCTCCTCCCTCGCTCCCCACACTCCCTCTCTCTAAACCCGTCACAGGCGAGTCACTAAGTGCACACACACACGAGAGTACAAGGAAGAGAGAGAGAGCGCGCACGCTAACCGCTGCGCCGCCGCTCCCCACGTCCGTCGCTGGGTGCGCCTCTGTGTACACACACAAAGATAAAGACCCCCCGTATAGCCTTAACAGACTGTTGGGGCAAGTGCTGTTAGCAAGCACCTATGAAGGCCGGCACGGCACACGAGCGGTGGTGGGTGGCCAACATCACGCCCGGCTGCCTTTGTCTCCCTAGTGGCGATGTTTACACATCGCGCCTGGCAGGCACCGTCCTGCAGTGCGTAGCCCTGGGGGCACTCGCAGCCCTCCACGCACGGCTCAGAGCAGCCAGGTAGCTTCCACACAGCAGCGTTACGCAACCGATGAAAAGATATTGCCGCTCGACTGATTCGGAGTGAGACCTCTGCTGTTAAACTGGAGCCGGTCATAAGCACACTGCCCAGGTATGGGAAACTCTCCACTCTCTCCACAACTGCCCCATCACCGATTGGGAATTGTGGGGGTGGAGTGTCCGATGGTACAAAATACCCAGGCAGGTGCTTAGTTTTGGTGGGGCTGATGGTAAGGCCCCACCTCTTAGTGGCACGCTCCAGTCTCAGCAGCAGCGTCTCCAACTCTTCCTCTGAATGAGCAGCTATTACCAAATCATCGGCATACATAACGTGGTTGACCAATAGGGAGCCATCCTTTGATCGCACCCAGGCATCGATCAGCCTCCTATTATATCTGTACCAAATGGAAATTCCCCCGGTACAGCTATTGAAGGCTTCACGAACTACGTGCTCAAAATAGATATTAAATAATGTGGGAGCCAGAGGACATCCCTGTCGCACCCCAAGGTGTACAGGGAATGGCTCCGACTCCCGGCCACGTAGTTTTACCCGGGCCCGCTCACCATCATGAAGGTGCTTAATGATCGTGAGCAGAGGGTCAGGGACTCCGAAAGCACGAAGAACAGCCCAGAGCCCAGGCCTACTGATGGTATCCTAGACCTTGACCAGATCAATAAAGCAGAGATGTAGGTCTTGTTGGAATTCCCTACACCTCTCCTGTAGCAGACGGACAGAAAATACACACAAACATGCACACACAGACACACGCACATATATACACACGAACATGCACACAAAGGCAATAAAATCCCCCTGTTACCACGAACACTGTTGGGGCAAGTGCACAGTAAAAAAAGGCTGCAGTCAAGAACAGACATTGCTTTTGTAGGGGTGATTGTCACTCACCATTCAGCATGCCTGTAGTACCACTTATTGTCGATAGGGGGCAGAGGCATTACCTCGCCAGGGCAAATGTCCATGGACCAAAAAGGGGCCAACGGTGGATCCCAGTAAACGGATCCTGGGACACATTCCCCAGGCCCCCGGGTGGGGAGGGGACCGGGGGAATGATGTCACCTTCCAGCATGGCCCAGAGTGTTCCAGAAGGTGGGCGTGGCTAGGGCGGAGCAAGCCACGAACGAGTATATAAGCCAAAGCACTCAGAGCGCTGTGCCCAGAGGTCGCAACCGGGTACCCGATACCCGTACCCTACCCGATACCCGACTATCCGTACTCGGCCGGGGCCGGGTACGGGTACCCGTTTGCGACCCTGGTGCGGCCGGGTACGGGTAGGCCGCGAGTCACTGGTGAGTCACCGTTTGTCACTCATTTCCCAACGTCTTGTCTCTTCTCACAATTCAAGTTCCTAGAATCAACCCACCTGCGCCTGCAACATGGCTTCATCCCAGAGGTCGCAATCGGGTACCCGTACCCTACCCGATACCCGGCCGGGTACGGGTAGCCGGGTATCGGGTAGGGTACGGGTACCCGATTGCGACCCTGGTGCGGCTGGGTACGGGTAAGGAATCAAAACCCGTTTGCGACCTCTGGCGCTGGCTCTGTGATCTACACACTGAAGACCAAAGACCGGGCTGGAGAATAGGACCCTGGACCCCAGGCTCCGCGGTCCTTCTAAGGGCCGGAGCTCAGAGAGGCCAGTGGTCAGGACCCACGGACCAGGAGGTCGGGGTCAGTGAGCCTCCCCTAGGTCCCAGCCGGAGGACGAAAGGGAACGGGTTACCAGTGTTAGGTCCCGTATATTTCGGAGGCCATACCTCCCTAGGTATCGGGCGAAGGGACCGATATGCCCTCCATGTAGGGACCTTGTAGTAAAGACAATAAACCAACATGTTGCCTCATGAGAATTTTATTCGTCAGTATTTACAACACTACACTTTTAACACGAAGATAAAGACAAAGACTTCCCGTGTAGCCTTTGACAGACTGTTGGGGCAAGTGCTGTGTCTAATAAAGGTTGCTGTCAAGAACAGGTATTGCTTTCAACACAAAGATAAAGACAAAGACCCCCGTGTAGCCTTTCACAGACTGTTGGGGCAAGAGCTGTCTGTTAACGAGCACCGGATATTCCCAACCGGCTACAGCAGTGGCGAGCGATATCAAACCGGATTTCATCGCTCCATCTCCGCAGCAGTCAAACCTCTCAATCGTCCCCCCCCGCCCCATGGCTGCCACTCCGTCGCCAGTCTCGACCGCGTGCCATCGCCGCTTCCTCCAGCCACGTGACCCTGCCGAATGGCCACGTGACCCTTTCGAATGGCCACGTGTCCTGACGGCCAATGCGATGCCTCTCATTAACTCGCGTGCCACCATCTCTGATCCACGTGGTGTCCCCCCCCGCCCGCCTTACTCTGTCTCTGGGTGCCACTGCAAGCGAGCCCCTCTCGCCCCTCTCCCCTCTCTCTCTCTCTCCACGTCGTCGTTGCGCTTCTTGTCGATCCGCAGCTTCGTCGTCGTCGTTGTCCGAGGGTCTGGTCCAGCTTGTCACGGCAGGTCTCTCGCGTGCACGTGTCTGGGACCTTCTGCCTTGACAGACGCACTCTCACAACCTCCCAGTGAACATGCTCACGTTGGCACAACGTTTGGCACGTGGTTGGCACAACGTGCTCAACGTTGGACCAACGTTGGACCAAGGTTCCACCAAGGTTTACTTGGCTGCTGCACTCGCCCGCCTCATTTCACACGGACGGACACTTACAAACAACTTTTATAAAGGCGAATGAGGGATTGTGAGCAGAGGTGAGGGATTGTGAGTGCAGGTGAGTGAGGGATTGTGGGTAGAGGTGAGTGAGGGGGGTTGTGGGTACAGGTGAGTGTGAGGGATTGTGGGTACAGGTGTGTGAGGGGGGTTGTGGGTACAGGTGAGTGTGAGGGATTGTGGGTACAGGTGTGTGAGGGGGGTTGTGGGTACAGGTGAGTGTGAGGGACTGTGGGTACAGGTGTGTGAGGGGGGTTGTGGGTACAGGTGAGTGAGGGGGGTTGTGGGTACAGGTGAGTGAGGGGATTGTGGGTAGAGTTGAGTGAGGGTATTGTGGGTACAGGTGAGGGGGGTTGTGGGTGCAGGTGAGTGAAGGGGATTGTGGGTACAGGTGAGTGAAGGGGATTGTGGGTACAAGTGAGTGAGGGGGGTTGTGGGTACAGGTGAGTGAAGGGGATTGTGGGTACAGGTGAGTGAAGGGGATTGTGGGTACAGGTAAGTGAGGAGCTGTACGTTGAACTCGACCCACCGGACGGACCGGTCTGTCGCCGACGTAAGACGCCCCCCCCACCGCCCCCCCCCCACAAATGAAGAACAACACCCCCCGTGTAGCCTGTGGCAGACTGTCGGGGCAGGTGCTGTTAGCTATGAAAGTCGGCAGGGCACACGGTGGGGGTGGGTGGCCAGCACCACGCCAGGCCGCCTTTGTCTCCCCAATCGTGATGTTTACTACACACCGCACCAAGTACTCATTTGAGGCTGAGTGGACCTAGGGGAGGCCCAGGACCGGTTCAGAAAATCTCACTTGGTGTCCGTGGGCTGCGAGCGAGGAATCGAACTCGCGTCGCCCGGGGTTCGTAGCGCAGCGTGGCGCTAACCGCTGCACCACCGCTCCCCAGCCCCCCCCCCTACTTCGCAGGGCAGGCGCGGGGCTTCCCGCGGGGCCGGGCGCGTCCCCCGTGTGCTGACGGTGGCGGTATCGGCGAGGAGGCGGTGAACGTGACGAGGATTGCCGGGGCGAGGTGAGCGGGGAGTGACGCAGCTACTCCCGGCATGCGGGGCGCGACAGCATCGCGCACAGGTGGAATGCGGGGGGGGGGGGGCGGCCCTGCGCTACTGCCGCCGCCGCCGTGTCCAGCGCAGCGCTCGTTGTCGATGGTTCCTCCTCGTTGGTGGCGCTGAACGGAGGGGACACCCAACACGCCGGCTCCGGGTTGATGCCCGTGGCGAGCACGACGACGACGAAGATGATGATGATGAGGATGAGGCGTGGGGGGGCTCTACTCGTCGCGATCGTGGGGGTCCTGGTGGTGCGAGGAGGGGGGCAGCCTCGCGGGGACCTGGGACCCGTCCAGGGCGCTTCCCAGCGTGAGTAGCGGCGCCCTGCGGTGATCATCGTTACTGGGGGGCCGTGGGGGGGGGTCCTAGATGGAGAGAGTGACGACTTTGGTTATGGTTAAGATCAGGGTTCGTGCTTGTTGTGTAGTAGCTGGGGCTGGTATTCGATTCAGGACTTTGGGCTCGTGTTGGGGTTAAGAGCAATGTTATGGTTATGGGCTGGTAGTATGGTTAGTGTTAGAATTCTGGCTTGCGTGTACGGTGATCGCGACTGATAGCTCCGTGTGAGTGGTAGGGCCAGTGACAGGGCTACAGGAGTTAAGGCTTTGGCCATGGCTGGCAGGTGGTGGGCTTCGTGGTCGGGCTGGTGTTGTGAGGGTGGGTTGCTCGACTCGTATCGTAAGAATGCCGCGACTGCTGCCCGCTGCGGAAATCGTCGCGCGCCGCAATGCAAATTAGCGTGGAAATCAGTGCGGAGTCATCAGCGCTGCTGACCCCCTAGGTGGACTCAGCCTCAAAATGAGAAGTTGGCGCGGTGTGCAGTAAACATCGCCACTGGGGAGACAAAGGCGGTCGGGCGTGGTGCTGGCCATCCACCCCCTCGTGTGTAGTGCCGGCCTTCGTAGGTGCTATTCGCTAACAACACTTGCCCCATCAGTCTGCTAAGGCTATACGGGGGATCTTTGTCTTTGTTTTTTCCACATTGGATGGCTGAGTGGTTAGAGCGGTTCATAAATATGGGACCGGTTCGGCATTCAAATATTTTCCCCAAGTAAACAGCTTTGGGGGTTTTTTTTGTCCATTTGTGTTCCTCCTGCAGGCGACTTCAATAGCTGCGCGTGACGCTGTTGGTTCCCGTGATTGATGGTGAATGGGGGAGCGGTGGTGCAGTGGCTAGCGCGCTGCGTTACGAACCCAGCGACTCGAGTTCGATTCCTCCTCACGGCCAACGCCGGTGACGATTATCCAAACCGGTCCTGGGACTCCTCTAGGCCGACTCAGCCTCAAATGAGTACCTGGTGCGGTGTGTAAACAATGCCGCTGGGGAGACAAAGGCGGTCGGGCGTGATGCTGGCTGCTCACCTCCTCGTGTGCCGTGCCGGCCTTCATAGGTGCTCGCTGACAGCTCTTGCCACGATTATGTAGTCTGTTAAGGCTATACGGGGGTTCTTTGTCTTTGGATGTATATAAAATATTTCTCGATTTAAAGCTTTCGTGACTGCAGGGATTCATCTTCTTGGTTCTTTCGGTAAAGTCACGTAGAAGGGAAATAATAAAATAATAAAAATAAAACATAATAAAATACAATTCTCACGACGTTTCGGCCACAACGCAAGCAGCCGTCCTCAGGTAAAGAACAGGTCTGTCGGAAAGACAGCATATATAAACATAGTTTATGGTGATGCTGCTGCGTTGTCAACACCGCGGCCTTAACAAGGACAGACATATAATGCGTGACGTTTCGAGCAATGGCCTTTCTTCACGTGTGCTGCTCCAATGTTGTTGATCTTTGAAGGGTTTGCCTCTTGCTCAAGAGCTGCTGTTAGGTAACTACTCACCCATCGCCAAGAAACATGAACAATGTAATATTTACAAATGTAAATACCACACAAACACATGTTCACACCCTTGCCCACACATACACACGTGCACAAAGATGAACAAAGATCCCCCGTATAGCCTTAACAGACTGTTGGGGCAAGTGCTGTTAGCTAGCAGCACCTATGAAGGCCGGAACAGCGCACGAGGGGGTGGGTGGCCAGCACCAGTGGCGATGTTTACACACCGCGCCAGGTACCAGGTACTAATTTAAGGCTGAGTCGATCTAGGGGAGGCCCAGGACCGATTCAGATAATCGTCACTGGTGTATGCCGTGAGCAGGAATCGAACTCGGGTTAGCGCGCTGCGCTTCCCCACACACATGTGGACACACCTCCCCACCCACACACATAATTTCTCCCCCCCCCCCCCAATATACACACACACACACGCGTGCACACCTCCCCCCACACACACACTTGCACACACATCCCCCCACACACACATCATTTCTCCCCCCTCCCCCCCAATATACACACACACGCGTGCCCACCTCCCCACAAACACGCGTGCACACACACACACGTGCCCACCTCCCCACACACACGCGTGCACACACACACACGTGCACACCTCCCCACACACACGCGTGCACACACACACGTGCCCACCTCCGCACACACACGCGTGCACACACACACACGTGCCCACCTCCCCACACACACGCGTGCACACACACACACACGTGCACACCTCCCCACACACACGCGTGCACAAACACACACGTGCCCACCTCCCCACACACACGCGTGCACACACACACACACGTGCCCACCTCCCCACACACACGCGTGCACACACACACACACGTGCCCACCTCCGCACACACACGCGTGCACACACACACACGTGCCCACCTCCCCACACACACGCGTGCACACACACACACGTGCACACCTCCCCACACACACGCGTGCACACACACACACGTGCCCACCTCCCCACACACACGCGTGCACACAGGCTCGTGCTGGCTGAACGCCCCCCACGTGGTCACGTTTGACGGGCGTGCGATGCGCTTCCACGGAACGTGCACCTACACCCTGGTGACCCCCTGCGTGGGGGGCGCCCCCGTTGCCGCGCCCCCCTGGGAGGTGATCGTCTCCCTCGGGGACTCCAACAGCCCCGGGGTCTCCGTGCGCCTCCACAACCTCACCGTGTCGCTGGGCCGCGACGGGGCCGCGCAGGTACCGCCATCACTGGACGCTCATCCTGTAACTTCCTCCTCCTCCATCCCATCACCTCCTCCTCCCACTCCTGCATACCATCTCCTTCCTCCTCCATACCATCTCCTTCCTCCTCCATATCATCACCCTCCTCCTCCATCTCATCACCCTCCTCCTGCATCTCATCATCCTCCTCCTTCATCTCATCACCCTCCTCCTCCATCTCATCACCCTCCTCCTGCATCTCATCATCCTCCTCCTTCATCTCATCATCCTCCTCCTCCATATCATCTCCCTCCTCCTTCATCTCATCACCCTCCTCCTCCATCCCATCTCCCTCCTTCCACTCCTCCTCAATCCCATTTCCCTCCTCCTCCCACTCCTCCATCCCATCTCCCCCCTCCTCATTCCCAACTCTCAATTGCCCTCCTCTCCCTCCTCATTCGATGCTGCTAAACTCTGGAACTCATCACAGTGCCGATGCCTTAATGATCGGACCTGGTCGATTTGAAAACGCAAAACATTACCCAATGACATAAATGCATGCGATTATTGGCGTAAGGCACTACTACCACTAGCAGGGACGTCCATAGAGGGGGGGGGGGGTGCGGGGCCCGGGACAACTCACACCGTGTGGGCTCCCCTAGGCCCCCCAAAGCGCGGGGCCCGGGGCGACAGCCCCGATTAGCCGTAGCCCAGGGACAGCTCTGACTGCTGGAGTACAACGTGAGTCCATCCTTTATAATAACGCTACGTTATTGCACCCTGATGGCCGTACGCTCCGATGATGACAATAGACGAGATATCGCGGAACGGCTCCGACTTACATTGAGCACTGCCTCAGGTATCTTAATTAAATCATCGACGTTTCGGGCAACGGCCCTCCTTAAACTAAACAATTTGTTTGTCTTACTGAGCGATGTAGCTCTTTTTCAGAAGCGACCTGGCCACAAATGATAGCTCAACAAAGTGGCTTATCATATCGTGGGAATTTATAGCAGCCAAATACTTTAAACGCGTGATGTTGATTCTAAATGTTGAGTGACCCGGGTAAAAACCCACGCCACGACGGGGAAAGAGAGAGACACTGCAAACTCCAAATATGCAGCAGGCGTCAGGGTCGAGATCGAACCCACGACCTCCTGCATACCAGGCGAGGTAGTTAACATCTCCTAGCCACCGTGATGATGATAAGAGAGACACCACAAACTCCAAATACACAGCAGGCGTCAGGATCGGCATCGAACCCACGACCTCCCGCATACCAGGCGAGGTAGTTAACATCTCCTAGCCACCGTGATGATGATAAGAGACACGCAAACTCCAAATACACAGCAGGCGTCAGGGTCGGGATCGAACCCACGACCTCATGCACACCAGGCGAGGTAGTTAACATCTAGCCACCGTGATGATGATGAGAGACACCACAAACTCCAAATACACAGCAGGCGTCAGGATCGGCATCGAACCCACGACATCCCGCGTACCTGGCGAGGTAGTTAACATCTCGCCGCACGTGATCGAGCGTGCAGGTGGACGGTGTTCGCGTGTCGCTACCGGCCCGCCCCTCCCCGCGGGTCTGGCTTCGGGCGAGCGGCTCCTTCGTGCTGATGGGCCTGGCCGAGGCGGGGTTGTGGGTGCGCTGGGACGGGGGCCGCTCCGTGTGGCTGTCGCTCGACCCCACCGTGGCCGGGAGCGTGTGCGGCCTCTGCGGCGACTTCAACGGGGACCCCGCGGACGACGCGGCGGGGCCCGACGGGGTGCCGAGGAACTCGAGCGCCGACGTCGGCAACAGCTGGAAGCGAGCGGCGCGACCCGCCGGGTGAGCGGCGCGGGGAGCGGCGGCGCCGCGCTCGGCACCCGGCGGTCACCAACACCCGTGACGATTATCCGAACCGGTCCTGGGTCTCAAATATTCGGGGTCTCCTATCAGAGGTGGGCGGGGGGGGGGGGGGGACTGCGGTGGGGGGAGCGGGAATGGTTTATGTACCAATGACGTTGGTGATGCTGCTGCTGCGTTGGTAGTGGTGCACAAGCACGGCTAACAAAACAGACTCGACCCACTGACCTGCCATGCCCTCTACCACCCGTGTGACCCCCACGTGACCCGGCGTGACGCCCCGTGTAGCCACCGTGACTCCGCGTGACCCCGTGTGACCCTCCCCCCCCCCCCCACCCCCCCGTGTGCTTAGGTGCTCCGATGACGAAGGCTGGGCGCCGCAGCCGAGCCCCGTGCTGCTGAGCGAGGCGGCGCGTCTGTGCGCGCCGCTGGCGGACACCGGCGGGGACCTCTCCCCCTGCCACTCGGCGGTGGACCCTGAGGCGCCGCACGCCGCCTGCGTGTGGGACGTGGCCGTGTCCGGCCTCACCCAGGCCGCGCTCTGCCGGGCCCTGGCCAACTACCACGACTCGTGCGCGCGAGCTGGGGGCACCCCCAGCACGGCGTGGAGGGGACCCGCGGGATGCCGTGAGGACCCCCACCCCCCCCTCCTGCCCACTTCATCATCATGGTCATTATCGTCATCGTGATTGAAATTATCATCATCGTGGTCATCATCATTGTGGTTGTAATTATGATCATGGTCATCATTATCGCAATTTTGATCATTGTCATCATCATCGTCGTCATCATGGTCATTATCATCATTGTGGTCGTAATTATCATCATCATGATCGTTATTATCAACGTCGTCATCGTGGTCATCATGATCACCTCCTTCTACAACCAATTATCGCCATCATCATCATTGTTCTTGTCATTGTCTTCGTCATCATCCCCAATGCGCTCTTCCGTCTCTTTCTCCCCCTACCCTTCATCTCCCCCCTGTGTCCCCCCTCCCTCTCTCATGTTGCTGTTGTTGCCAGCTGCCCCAGTGGAGGCATGTTGATGACCCTGCTGTTGCTGCTGCTGCTGGTGTGTTATGCTGATGATTATAATGCTGCTGCTGCTGATGATGATACATCTGTTGTTTCTGCTGCTGCTGCTGCTGCATATGGTATCCGGGATTTAGTGTTAGCCGAGTCTATCCGGGTACGCAACCTGGAAACTATCTACCCGGCACACCACATCCAGTATAATAACCATACCACTCTCGCCATGTCTGCGACTACTAGTCACTAAACTACTCCTGTTTACCAACCACACAGAAACCATTCAGTGAAAATTAAATCCCTGATACCGCTGCCACTGCTGTTGAACTTCGTTTGCACCATACATAGCCAACCGTGCTAATTGGAGGTGCCGATGATGACGTGCTTGTGTGCGTGGTGTGTTCCGCTCAAGGCCGCAAACACCGGTGACGATTATCTGAACCATTCTTGGGGCCTCCCCTAGGTCGACTCGGCCTCAAATGAGTACCCGGCGCAGTGTGTAAACATCGTCTATCGGGAGACAAAGGCGGCGGGCCGTGGTGCCCTCTCGCGTGCCATGTCGGGTTTCATAAGCGTTCCTCGCAAACAGCACCGGGGACATCTTGATCTTCGGTGCGTTGCGTGTGTTGCGTTGTGACCCAGCGGCCCCTCTGTGCCCCGAGCGAGCCTCGTACCGCTCCTGCCTGAGGTCGTGCTCCTCCACGTGCTGGCAGCCCGAGGAGGAGGCGGTGCCGGGCTGCTCTGAGCCGTGCGTGGAGGGCTGCGAGTGCCCACAGGGCTTCGCACTGCAGGACGGCGCCTGCCAGGCCCTCTACACGTGCGGCTGCGTGTGGCAGGGCTTCTACCACGCGGTACGACGGGCATTCATTTCTCCACCTCGTTTTTTATTGACATTTTATAAAGCGACTGCTTCACTCGCGGCGCTCGACACAGCGTACACTGTGCGGTGTGTACACAAAGTAGAATGATTTCGGTGGCAGGGGCGTGCCGCATGGGTTGAGGAATGATTGACCGTCGCGAAAGGGTGGGGAGAGAGACGGGGAAGGAGTGGAGGGGCGAGGGAAGAGGAGGAGAATGGGCGGTGGAGAAGAGGTGACCTTGACCGTATTGACCCAGGAGAGTCGCGCTGCTGAGTCGCAGGACTCACCGTCAGGAGGGTCCTGCCGTAGCTGCTGCTACACCGAGGTGTTTATTTGTAAGATGTTTTCATACCTGTCAACCCATTATCAGTGGCTTATTCCAGACCAATTAATGCCTTATTGGTCACCCCGTGGCCCTTATAAATCTGAACGTGCATCCTACAAAGTCCCAGCACAAGGGAGAAACACAAACAAATAAAAACAAATGTGCCCGTATTGAAACGGCTGTACTCCACATGGGCCTGAAAACTCAATTTCCCTGTACAAGATTACGGGTAAACCGTATGGGGTGACAGCTCTGTGCCTTCCACTCGATTATCGAAGAGTCGTGTTTGTTGTTCACGTGGGAAGGAGGAAACCAGAGCACCCTGGAGAGAACCCACAGCTTGTGTGGTTGTAGCGGTGGTGACACGTGTGGTGGTGGTGGTGGTGGTGACACGTGTGGTGGTGATGGTGCAGGTGGACACGTGGTGGTGGTGACACGTGGTGGTGGTGCAGGTGGACACGTGGTGGTGGTGACACGTGTGGTGGTGGTGCAGGTGGACACGTGGTGGTGGTGATGGTGACACGTGTGGTGGTTGTGGTGGTGGTGGTGACACGTGTGGTGGTGGTGGTGGTGCAGGTGGACACGTGGTGGTGGGCCCCTGGCTGTGCACGCCGCGTGGACTGCGTGGCGCGGGGCTTGGCGAGGGAGTCGGCGGCGCAGTGCGGGGGCGGGGAGGTGTGCGAGGCGCGCGACGGCGCCTACGGCTGCTTTAAAGGTGTCACAGCGCCGCGTCACAGCGTCACAGCGCCACGTCACAGCCCGATACAGCCCGATACAGCACACCTGACTCAACGAGCCATCATACCACGCCACGCCAGAACGCGCCACAGTGTGACACACGGACACGTCGTGTCTACGTGTCCGTGTGTCCCTACCGGCATGTCCATCTTCCTGTGCCGTCACGTGCCCATATTCCCCGTAAGAACCCCCTTCACCCCAAAGACAAAGATCCCCCGTATAGGCTGAACAGACTTATGGGGCAAGCGCTTTTAACGAGTAACGCTTACGAAGGCCGGCACGGCATACGAGGGGGTGGGTGGCCAGCACCACGCCTGCCCGTCTTTGTGTCCTCAGTTCTGATGTTTACACATCGCACCAGGTACTTATTTGAGGCTGAGTCGACCTAGGGAAGGCCCAGGACCGGTTCAGGTTATCGTCACCGGTGTTGGCCGGTAGCGGGAATCGTCACCTGGTTCGTAGCGCAGCGTAGCGCTAACCGCGACGCCACCGCTCCCCCATACCAAGGCCGTAATTATAATATATATTGGGGGGGACACACACCCCCCAATATTCAAATGTGCTCAAAATGTCCCCCCTCCCATATATTGCTATAAAATAGATTTCTGTTTATATGATTGCGGTTATGGTTGTACTTTATTAATCCCTAATCTCTGCCATTACATACAATGACACAAGAAAAGGTAAAAAACAAAAAACAGAGCAATGTAATACAATACACTATTAGACATTATTGTACAAAATAAATAAAAAGTCCATCCTATCTGTTAGTGAATTTTTCAATATTTTAGGCAGGAAATGGCAGGAAATTAGTTTTCAGATTTAGATAGTTTTTTCTGGGGAGAGGGGACCCCCAGACCCCCTGGAAGATTTGGTCCCCCCAATGTTGACTCCCTGGCTACGGCCTTGCCCCACACATTCAGAAACAATCCCGGAGCTCAACACAAGTCACGTGCAGCTGTTGAAGTCACGTGCAGCTGTTGAAGTCACGTGCAGCTGTTGAAGTCACGTGCAGCTGTTGAAGTCACGTGCAGCTGTTGAAGTCACGTGCAGCTATTGAAGTCGCCCGTAGGACGAGGGCGATTGCCCGGGACCGGTTCAGAAAATCGCCGCTGCCGCTCTCGAAGAACCACGCTGTCGTCTCGCTCACGTTGAACCTGTCGCGCCGTGCGTAGAGCCAACCGGGCTCGACATGAATAGAAACCCGGGGTTTTGTAGCGCAGCGGCACTAACCCCTACCTCCACCCCCACCCCTACCTCCACACCCCCCCCCCTCCACATACCCCCCACCCACCCCCACCCCTACCTCCACACACCCCCCACCCACCCCTACCCCCACCCCTACCTCCACACACCCTCCACCCCCCCACCCCTACCTCCACACACCCCCACACACCCCCACCCCTACCTCCACACACCCCCCACACATCCCCCACACACCCCCCACCCCTACCTCCACACACCCCCACACTCCCCCACACATCCCCCACACACACCCCCACCCCTACCCCCACAAACCCCCCACACACCCCACACAACCCCCACCCCTACCTCCACACACCCCCACCCACCCCCACACACCCCCACCCCTACCTCCACCCCCACCCCTACTTCCACCCCCACACACCCCCACACACCCCCACCCCTACCCCCACACACCTCCACCCCCACCCCTACCTCCACCCCTACCTCTACCTCCACCCCAACCCCTACCTCCACCCCCACACACCCCCACACACCCCCCACCCACCCCTACCTCCACCCCCACCCACCTCCACACCCCCCACCCCTACCTCCACACCCCACCCCCCCCACCCAGGCCGCGTGACGGTGGAGTGTGACGCGGACGTGATGAGCGCGCGCATCCCGCGTGCGCTGTCGCTGGCGACGCGCGCCTCCGAGCTGCGCCTCTCGCGTGCCGCGCCCGGGGAGCCGCGCTGCGCGCTCGCCGAGTCGGCCGGCTTCTTCTCCTTCACCATCGCCGTGGGGGACTGCGGCACCCTCGTCAACGTACGTGGGGGGCGGGGGGGTGTTGTAGTTTTGTAGGCGATGCAATGATCCGGATTGTTTGTGGTGGAGTGAAAATGTAATAAATGTTGCCAAATGTTGCCGATGTGCATGAGCACGGTTGACAAGACAAGTGTCTGCACACTCGTCGACGGCGACAACACCGCGTGTGTGTGGCCTTTAAAGTGAAATAGTAATACTGTATATATAATGCGACGGTTCGGGCAGTGACCCTTTTCGGTGGCACATGCTTGTTTTTGGGGGGGGTAGGCCACGAATTCGTTTTGTGCCAAAAGTCCTCTCGAGTTACCCCCCCACCCCCACCCCCGCAAACCCTTGACCCCTTGGCACCCCGAATCGACATCGTGCTGGGGCAGCGGCGAACTGGGGCAGCACTTGCCCCCCCCCCCCCCCCCCCCCACAGTCCGTGAATGACTCGCACCGTGTGCGTGGGGAGCGGCGGTGCAGCGGTTAGCGCCACGCTGCGCCACGAACCCCGTGACCCGGGTTCGATTCTCGTTCACGGCCAACACCGGTGACGATTTTCTGAACCGGTCCTGGGCCTCCCCTAGGTCGACTCAGCGTCAAAATGAGTACCTGGTGCGATGTGTAAACATCGTCACTAGGGAGACAAAGGCGGCCTTGCGTGGTGTTGGCCACCCACCCCCTCATGTGCTGTGCTAACAGCACTTGCCCCTACAGTCTGTTACAAGATATACACGGGATCTTGCTGCTTGTCTTGTGCATGTGCGTGCGCGTCTGTTGTGTATGTGCGCACGTGTGTATATACGTGTGTGTGTGTGTGCGTGGCGTGCAGGAGACGGACTCGGAGATCACGCTGCAGCAGACCATCGTCTACGGGATCCTGTCCAAGAAGGCGGTGATCATCCGCAACCAAGTGGAGACCATCACCGTGGTGTGAGTGGCCTGGCGAGCCCCGCGGTCGCGAGCCACAAGGTCGTTACCCACGTGGTCACGAGCCACGAGGTCGCTACCCACGTGGTCACGAGCCACGAGGTCGCTACCCACGTGATCACGAGCCACGAGGTCGTTACCCACGTGATCACGAGCCACGAGGTCGTTACCCACGTGGTCACGAGCCACGCGGTCGTTACCCACGTGGTCACGAGCCACGCGGTCGTTACCCACGTGGTCACGAGCCACGAGGTCGCTACCCACGTGGTCACGAGCCACGAGGTCGCTACCCACGTGATCACGAGCCACGAGGTCGTTACCCACGTGGTCACGAGCCACGCGGTCGTTACCCACGTGGTCACGAGCCACGAGGTCGCTACCCACGTGGTCACGAGCCACGAGGTCGCTACCCACGTGGTCACGAGCCACGAGGTCGCTACCCACGTGGTCGTGAGCCACGATGTCGCTACCCACGTGGTCACGAGCCACGAGGTCGTTACCCACGTGGTCACGAGCCACGAGGTCGCTACCCACGTGGTCACGAGCCACGAGGTCGCTACCCACGTGGTCGTGAGCCACGATGTCGCTACCCACGTGGTCACGAGCCACGAGGTCGCTACCCACGTGGTCGTGAGCCACGAGGTCGCTACCCACGTGGTCACGAGCCACGAGGTCGCTACCCACGTGATCACGAGCCACGAGGTCGTTATTCATGCTGCTGTCCACCTGCACCACCGGCCGTGGGTCCGCAGTCGTTGCCGGCGTGTCCGTGACCCCCACTTCCTCCCCCGCCCCCCCCAACCACAGCTGCCGCTACCCAAAGCGCGCGCGCCTCTCGGTGGTGATGACGCCGGACCTCGGCAACCTGACGGCGACCGAGGAGGGCTTTGGGTCCTTCTCCTTCGCGCTCGACCTCTACCGCGACGCCACCTTCTCCTCCGCCTTCGCGCCCGCCGACTTCCCGCTGCTGCCCGGCTACCGCCAGCGCCTCTACCTGGCCGCGTCGGCGCTCACCCCCCTCGATGTGCAGCTGCTGCTGCTCAACCTGTTCGCGACGCCCAGCGCCGACCCCGGCAACGCCGTGCGCCGAAACATCATCGCCAGCGGGTGGGGCAAAAACAAAGATCCTTCCCCCTCCCCACGCCGCCCCCCGTGTACCCTTTAAGAGGCCGTCCATAAATGACGTCACGCACCTGGGGGGGGGGGTCAGACATTAGTGACGATGTGTGACGAGGGGGGGGGGGGGGTTGAGAAATGTGACGTCATATCAAAATAGATAACCCGTTCTACTTAATTACTTTTTAAGAAATGTTTTCTCCTACAACATCAGAGTGCAGCGGCACATTAAATATGCACGACAATGACAATAGTTTAAAGTGATTTGAAGCATGTTTTATTTTGGGGGGGGGCAGAGCTTTGTGACGTCATATTTGAGGGGGGGGGGTCTGATTACTGGGGTCAAAATCGCGTGACGTCATTTATGGATGGCCCCTAACAAACTCTGGGGGCGAGAGCTGTTAGCGAGCACCTGTTAAGGGCGTCACGGCGTCGTGGGGGTGACTGGGTGGCCCAGCCCAGTGTGCGTTAGAGACTTTAAGGGGCCCCTTTGTCTTTGTACGTGCGCTGCTGAGCCAGGTGCGACGTGGACTCGACGCTGCAGACGCACGCCTCGAGCGGCCACACCAAGAAGCAAGTCAGCTTCGAAGCCTTCAGCTTCACCGGATACAAGACGGTCAGAGCAGCGACTACCACTGCCCCATTCACGTCGCCCCATTCACACTGCCCCGTTAACATCGCCCCATTCAAACATTCACATTGTTCCATTCATGCATTTACAACGCCCCATTCACACTGCCCTGTTAACATCGCCCCATTCACACATTCACATCAGCCCATTCACACATTCACATCACTCCATTCACACATTCACATCATCCCATTCACACATTCACATCACTCTATTCATACATTCACATCACCCCATTCACATTCACATCGCCCCATTCACACATTCACATCACCCCATTCACACATTCACATCATCCCATTAAAACATTCACATCGACCCATTCACACATTCACATCGTCCCATTCACACATTCACATCACCCCATTCACACATTCACACTGCCCCGTTAACATCGCCCCATTCACACATTAACATCGCCCCATTCACACATTCACATCAGCCCATTCACACATTCACATCGCCCCATTCACACATTCACATCGCCCCATTCACACATTCACATCGCTCCATTTACACATTCACATCATTCCATTCACACATTCACATCGCCCCATTCACACATTCACATCGCCCCATTCACACATTCACATCAGCCCATTCACACATTCACATCGCCCCATTCACACATTCACATCGCCCCATTCACACATTCACATCGCTCCATTCACACATTCACATCATTCCATTCACACTGCCCCGTTAACATAGCCCCATTCACACATTAACATCGCCCCATTCACACATTCACATCAGCCCATTCACACATTCACATCGCTCCATTCACACATTCACATCATTCCATTCACACTGCCCCGTTAACATAGCCCCATTCACACATTAACATCGCCCCATTCACACATTCACATCGCCCCATTCACACATTCACATCGCTCCATTCACACATTCACATCATTCCATTCACACTGCCCCGTTAACATAGCCCCATTCACACATTCACATCGCCCCATTCACACATTCACATCGCCCCATTCACACATTCACATCAGCCCATTCACACATTCACATCGCCCCATTCACACATTCACATCGCCCCATTCACACATTCACATCGCTCCATTCACACATTCACATCATTCCATTCACACTGCCCCGTTAACATAGCCCCATTCACACATTAACATCGCCCCATTCACACATTCACATCAGCCCATTCACACATTCACATCGCTCCATTCACACATTCACATCATTCCATTCACACTGCCCCGTTAACATAGCCCCATTCACACATTAACATCGCCCCATTCACACATTCACATCGCCCCATTCACACATTCACATCGCTCCATTCACACATTCACATCATTCCATTCACACTGCCCCGTTAACATAGCCCCATTCACACATTCACATCGCTCCATTCACACATTCACATCGCCCCATCCACGAGTTGCCCACGCCGCGGCTCTCCCCGCGCCGAGGGGTCTGTGCCGACCATGGTGCGCCACCGGTGTGCGTGCGGGCGCCGCAGGTGTTCGTGCACGCCGACCTGATGCTGTGCCGGCGTGGCGTGGTGGGCACGCGGTGCGAGCGCGGCTGCGTGCCGGTGCCGGGGGGACGCGTGCGCCGGGCGGCGGCGGCGGCCGAGACGGCGGTGCGCACGGTGACGCGGGGGCCGATCGTCCCGCAGGCGATGGAAGTGGCGGGCCCCACTACGACCACCGGGCACGCCCAGGACGGTACGGGGCAAATCGCGTGCCTGGTGTGTGTGTGCAGGCAGCGTGTGTGCAGGGTGCACGTGCAGGGTGTGTGTACAGGGTGCGCGTGCAGGCAGCGTGTGTGCAGGATGCGCGTGCAGGGTGTGTGTGCAGGGTGCGCATGTGTGCGGGGTGTACATGCAGGGTGTGTGTGCAGGGTGTGTGTGCAGGGTGCGCATGCCTGGTGTGTGTGTGCAGGGTGTGTGTGCAGGATGCGTGCGTGCAGGGTGTGCGTGTGATCTTTGTCTTTGTGTGCGCATGTACAGTCCGTGTGTGTGTGTAGTAGATGTGGACTCAGGCCTCCTGCCACTGCTGAGTTTACGTGACCACGTGTTGCACCGCGTTCAGTAAAGCGTGTCCACATCACCATCACAGTGGAGCTTCTAAAGATTGTGCGCTCCCAGAAGGCCACCTGGCCAATGGGATGCGTAAAAAACAATGTGGACAGGCAGACATATCAAGGAGGAGATAAATCGCCTGCCCATGTTTTTTGTTTGCCGAGGATGTTGGTTTGTGTGTTGATGGGTGAGTGATTTCTCCACGATATTGATTCAGATTCTTGTTATCCCCAGGCTCTTCCTCCACCACACCGAGATCCAAGTCCTCGTCCACATCCTCCTCCGCCTCCACCACCTCCTCCTCCACCACCTCCACCACCTCCACCACCACCTCCTCCACCACCTCGGCAACAACCACCAAGAAGTCGTCGCCGCCGTTGTCCACCCCATCTGGGACCCCCGCCACGTCGGGCACCTCCTCTAGTTCCACGTTGGTCCAGGGCACGCCGCCGCCGCCGCCGTCTTCACCGTCGCCGGCGGCGGCAGCGGCGGCCGTGGACACGGCGCGGGTGGTGGGCGCGGTGGTGGGCGCGGTGGCTGCGGGCACGGCGGTCTCCGTGGCGGTGGCGGTGGCCGCGTACCTCATCCACACCGGCACGTGCCCCGCGTTCGGTCGCCCTCCGACCATCAGCTACGTGCGCGCCTTCTAGCGCAGCGCCTCCACCCCGCCCTTCCCTCCTCTCCGCTCCTTCTCCCCTGCCCCCACGCCCCTGCGTCCTCTGCAGGTCGTCGCGCCGTGCCCTTGAAGGGCTGAACCTTGGCCGCGCGGAATGGTCTCCCCGTCACCGGAAGGTCTGTTTAAAGCAGCCGCGCCCCGGGGAAAAACACGCAAACGTCAGGCCAACGTCAACCAACGTTGGCCCGACGTTCGCGTGTTCGCAGGGTGGTTCCTTCGCGGCCGTCGGGACCCAATGGGGGTCTTCCACGTGTCCCCTGTGTAGACCGGCTCGTGTGGTGGCGATGGATCTCTATGCTGTGTCTATAACACGAGCACTTTTACCCCTGCACTGCAGTGGCCGAAGCGTGGTGGGCATGCGCCCCGCTGCAAGGAAATTCAATTAGCCTCTCGCCCTTGTGTCAATCCCCCTCCCCCGCCTTGGGGTACTAGGTCGTTGCTTCTCATCGTTGTTAAGTTCTCCAAAAGCACGACCAACTTGCTCTCCCGTCAGCCGCTCGTCCTCTCGATCTCGATCCGCCTTCGATGCCGGCCACGCGGATCGCGAACTCGCTAGGGTCGTGACCTTACCGTACGCGACCTTTTCTTGTTCCGCGATTGTGAGATATGACCTCACTGGGTATACAGGAGGTCGTGGGTTCGATCTCGACCCGGACACCTGGATATTTGCGTGTCTCTCTCCCCGTGGCCGCATGTATTTTTCTCAGGGTCCTCTGGTTTTTGGCTGCTATATATTTCCACGGGATGATAAGCCAATCCGTTGAGTTATCATTTGTGTGGCCTTGTTGCTTCTGAAAAAAAGAGCTACATAGCTCAGTGGGCCTTACCTGGTAACATTTAAGAATAATTTCGTTTTATATCATCATCATTAGACCTCCTTTGCCAGTACCAAAATATAACTGTAAGGTTTTTCCCCTTTTTTCTGGCAACAAAACTGAAACCTTCTTACGAGGAATCATGTCTGCATTAACCACAATACTTATGGTCAAAATGTACACAAAAACACACTGATAATATATGCATTGTCCTTGAAACTGATTGATTCTTATAATTTAGTTTTAGTTTGGCCTCTGCTTTGCCGCACGGCGTCACCGGCAACGTGCCCTCGTGGACACGGACGGAATCTTTTCTCTCCCTGGCAAACCGAACGTCTCGTTTGTTGTTGTTGCATTGCGATTATCGATAACGCCAAAAGAAAAGTTTGTTTCACGGCCCACGAATTCAACCGCGTGGGAGCGGTGCGGCAGCGGCAGCAGCGGTGGGAGCGGCGGCTGCGGTTGCAGCAGCAGCAGCCGCAGCGTCGCTCCTGCACACAAACTCGATGACATCCTCTCCCTGTTGTGCTTTATTTAGGGGTTTTGTTTATGGGTTGTTGTTCTCACTCACGACGTTCTGCGCTGGTGTGGGACGGGGATGGAACGCAACACGGCCTAGGTGCTGGAGAAGAACCGTGTGCCTTTAGTTGTTGTCCTTCCACCCCCCCGCCGCACCTCCGATTAGCAAGGTCGGCCACGTATGGTGCGATAGAAGTTCGACACACGTACCGTACATAGAGCGGCGTCAACCCTTTGAACGTCGACGCACACCGCCGCGCGGGAATCACGCGGTGGTCTGCGACGAGCGATGGTTATCTGGAAGAGTTCCATTGGGGAGGTGGGGGAGGTGTTTGACCATACTTTACCAGGGAGCTCAAGCGGTGAGGGCCGGTGAAGGCTTTTGGCAGGCCGGGCCTGGTTGTGATATCACCGCCGCTGCTGCTGCTGCTAAACTACATACATTAGAGTATAGCCACGACCGGGCGGGGGAATGGCTCCCATGTCTTTTATTTGATTACGGTTTAGAAAAATCGCGCGCCCAATTTATGTCACGTTGTCCTTCCGATTCGTCAAATAAATGTCCTGCTTTCAGCCGTAGCGGACGCGTGCACCTGCTTGGTATGCACTGTGACACGGGCAATCGTCACGGAGTTGATAATTTATGCATTCTGTATTGTGGGATTCGTTTCGTGCAGTCCTCCACGTGGAGCCAGGTGAAGGCCTCCACGTGGAGCCAGGTGGAGTCCTCCACGTGGAGCCAGGTGGAGTCCTCCACGTGGAGCCAGGTGGAGTCCTCCACGTGGAGCCAGGTGGAGCCCTCCACGTGGAGCCAGGTGAAAGCCTCCACGTGGAGCCAGGTGGAGTCCTCCACGTGGAGCCAGGTGGAGTCCTCCACGTGGAGCCAGGTGGAGTCCTCCACGTGGAGCCAGGTGAAGGCCTCCACGTGAGCCACTATTCCCCTGAAACGTCCAACGCCTGGAGGGGGACGGCGGCGTCGTCGAGGCCCGCCTCGTCCCGCTCCTCCGCCTCGTCCCGCTCCGCCCGCTCCGCCCGCAGCTGGAAGTGCGCCAGCAGCCCCCAGTGGTCGCTGGGGAACTTCCCGCACGCCAGCCGCTCGGTGCCCACGAAGCGCAGGGACAGCGGCGCGAACGTGGCCACGGCGGAGCCGGCGGATGAGCGCCGGGGCTCGACCCGGCGGAAGAGAATGCGGTCGAAGCGCAGGCGCGGCGTGGCGGGAGGATCGAACTGGCGGTTGTCGTTCAGGGAGAGGTCCCAGGTGTAGCGCGTCTCCTCGGGGCAGCCCAGCTCCTCCCACACATCGGCCACGCCGCCGGGCAGCCCGCCCATCCGCCGCACCTGTGGCGCACGCACGCACGCACGCACGCACGGGCGGCCGGATCGGAAACGAGAGGACGAGCGAGCGGCTCAAAATCCCGGTGCTCGCCGCGTGAATTCTTCTCCCTCCACGTTTTACAATCGATCGACGTCGCGCGTTTAAGAGTATTTCGCCGCTCTGCATTTCCACCGCGATGGTGAGAGACACTCCGTTGAGCTCTCGTTTGTGGCCAGGTTCCTTCTGGAAAAAAGATTCTCAGCTCGGCGGGCATTACCAGGTCAAATATAAAAAATAGTTCAAGAGTTCCAGAGCCGATCGCGGGGCCCCTCGACTAGCGGCGCACCACCCCCCGCTCCCCCCCCCCCCCACGGACTCGCCTCCTTGTCCCGCAGGTTCGTGTCGCCCCCGAAGATGACGGCGGCGTGGGCGGGCGCGAGCGCCATGCGGCGTAGCACCCGGCGCAGCTGCCGCACGCGCTCCTCGGACTTGGGCCCCGTGCTCTCCAGATGTGACGTCAGCAGATACAGCTCCCGGCCCGACACCTCCGCCTGCGCACAAGCATTGGGCGGACGTCAGCACGGCCGTGCCGTGGCCGGGTGTTGTGGCCGGGTGTTGTGGCCGAGTGTTGTGGCCGTGTGCTGTGGCCGGGTGTTGTGGCTGGGTGCCGTGGCTGGGTGCCGTGGCTGTTGTGGCTCGGTCCTGTGGCTGGGTGCCGTGGCTGGGTGTTGTGGCCGAGTGCCGTGGCCGCGCTTACTTTGACGGCCAGGAGGTGCCGCATCATCGTGGAGGTGGGGAAGGGGAAGACCTCGTGGGAGATGAACCTCACGCGAGAGCTCTTCAGCATCACGGCGGCGAAGTAGCCCTCGGTGTCCGCTGCAGAGATCGAGTGGCGGTCCCATCGTCAGGCAACACGCGCGGCGCGATGCGGCCTCTAGGACAGACCGCCAAGGGGATTGCCGCTCCACTCTCGAAGCATCGCCTCGTCTCTATCGTCCATTCTCTTCCCTCCCCTCGCCCCTCCACCCCTTCCCGTACCTCCCCTGTCGCCCATTCGTAATCCCTAAGCAGCCCTCTATCTCTGCCGTCACTCATTCCTCAATACCTTTCAGTACCGCCCCTGCCAACTCAATCGTTCCGTTCTGTCACCGCTCTGTAAGCTGTCGTCAAGCACATTGAGCGAAGGCGCTCTCTCTCTCTGCATAAGTACACGCGATGAGATGAGATTGTGGCTGTGAGAGGGTTTCACCAGGGATGATGGAGTAGTCGTCCTCCTTGTCACAGTTGACCAGGTGGATGAAGAAGGGAATCACAACCTCTTGCAGAAAGACCACGTCCACAGGAGTTCCTGCACACGCCCCACCACGCGCCCCACCACGGCGCGTGCACAGGTTGTGTGTGAGGGGTGGAGCGGTGGCGCAGTGGTTAGCGCGCCGCGCGACAAACCCGGCGCCTCCCGAGTTCGATTCCAGCTAACGACCGCCAACGCCAGCGAGTAACAATTATCTGAACCGGTCCTGGGCCTCCCCTAGGTAGACTCAGCCTCAAGTGAGTGGCTGCTTTCAGTGGGTGAAACATCGCCACCAGGGAGACAGAGGCGGCCGGGGCGTGATGCTACGTACATCCAAATTGTACTTTCTCCATACAGAGACCCGCAGACTCGCAGACTCGCAGACAGATGCAATGACTCGATGCTCACTTGGAGACGGCGTCGTAGACCGCCTGTGCTCGCACCCTCAACTCGTCCCTCATGAGGCCGTCCACGTTCCAGCAGAGGACCGACAGCGGCCCCTCGTCCACATCGCTGAGCGCACGCAGAGACACAGACCCCCCCCCCCCAGCACAGCGTTTAGCACGCGGGCCGATGGATGGGAGGCGATGTCCAGCACTTGACGATGTCCAGCACTTGACGATGTCAGCGTGTAACAGTAGTCGTTGAAACTAGATTCGAAGCTTTAGTGACTGCTGGAATTACTCTTTGGTTCTTTCGGTAAAGTCACGTAGAAAATTAAATCAGATAATAATAGAATACGACGTTTCGGTCGCAACACAAGCAACCATCATCAGTTAAGAATGAATGATAGAACACAGACACACACAAAGGTGTATGTCACCACACTCGGTGTGTCTTTGTGTGTGTCTCTCTCTGCGTGTGTGTCTGCCTACGCGGTTCCCGTGTCTGTGTTACATCATTCATTCTTACCTGATGATGGCTGCTTGTGTTGCAACCGAAACGTCGTATTCTATTATTATTTGATTTTCTATGTGGCTTTACCGAAAGAACCAAAGCGTTGTAATTAACTTTCGAAGAGAGGGGAAGGCTGGCGGCCGCCACCACCACAACCTGTCCTTTGAGCTCGAGTTGGACTCCTGGTCCGAGTCAGGGTTCGCCTGTTCCAGCCGCCACGGGTTCACGCTCTCCACGGGCTCCCGAGTCGGGTCACCACCGCCCGCTCCCTCCTCGTGAACAGGCTGGTCGCCCATGGCTCCCCTGTACGCCACGGGGCGGCGGGGAGGGGAGGCGCTGGGGTCGGCTCACAGAGTCTGCGTCTCGGCCATCGGGAATAGTCACCCCGTGACATTCACTCTCAGATAATAATAATAATAGGGGTTTCCCCCCTTTTTTCTGGCAACTCAACTGAAACCTTTTTACAAGGAATCATGTCGGCATTAACCACAATATTTGTGGTCAGAATGCAAACAAAAAACACTTCGATAATATTTGCATTGCCCTTGAAACTGATTGGTCCACACCAGAGACGGCTTTCTTTTGAGCCTCGTCTCAATTGGTGCTAGACCAGAGGACGCCAAAGGCGTACAGCTCACTCTCAGAGTTCAATCGGAAGTAGATGATGTTCGTGACTGCATGGGTATGAAACCTCACCCTGGCCTTGTAAGTGTTGCTATGTCTAAACGACGGAAGAATAATCAGCCGTGATCAATCCACTGCTGGATGACGGCCTCCGCTATCCGTCCCCATCTCTCGTGGCCCCGTGGCGTTGGGGCAAGCTACCCAGCACCTCACGCACGAGTTGATGGCTTCTCTCCGCATCGGCAGTGGACGTCGTCGTCGGTGACGGACTGGGACTTAAAATCGTCCCAGACATTTTGTAGACCGCACTGAGCCCGAATTTGCCCCCGCCCCCCTCTGTCTATTTAAGGCCTCGCCACAGAGACGATCTCCCTCTCTGTGCCTGTGTTACTCTCTCTCTCTCTCTATGTATCTTGGTGATATCTGTCTGCTTATATGTCTGTCTATAGTTTTCTGGTTAGATTTTTGTTGCTATTTCATTCATGCCTGATGATTGCTTGTGTTGCAATCGAAACGTCGTATGCTATTATTTAATTTATTACTTTATCTTTATACGTGACTTTACCGAAAGAACCAACGAGTAATTCCTGCAGTCACGAAAGCTCTAAAATTAAGAATGATAAACTATTTCAAACCTATGCCATCCGAGAATGCCTTCTGGAGGATGGCGTCACGGAATGATTTCTGAATTCCCTGAAATGTCGCCTGTGATTACAATAGGTGGCGCCACCTCCTCACCTTGACTTCTCAAGAGCAGTCATTAAGGGGCCGCCCATAAATGACGTCACGCAATTTTGGACGATTTTGGACCCCCCCCCCCCCTAGTCACACGGCGTCACAAAAAGTCAGACCCCGCCTCAAAAAATAAAACATGCTTCAAATCGCTTTAAACTATTGTCATTGTAGTGCGTATTTAATGTGACGATGCACTCTGATGTAGGAGAAAATATTTATTAAAAAGTATATTTCATTAAGTAGAACGTGTTGTCTATATTTATTTAAAGTTGCGCATTTTGATGTGACGTCACATTTCTCACCCCCCCTCGTCACACATCGTCACAAATGTCTGACCCCCCCCCCCCTCCTAGGTGCGTGACGTCATTTATGGACGGCCCCTAAGTGACCCATCATCTTCACGTGTCGGTGTTCACAGGTCTCCGCTTCTGTCAGTCCATCCTTAGCGAGGAGGGAGATTCCTGCAGATGGAGGAGGTTGATCCCAGGTCTCCGTTTCTGCTGCTGATCAATCTTCAGCACATGGAGAGATTCTTACAGATGAGGGGAGGGGGCCCGGTGGGGGGCGAGGGGAGGGGTGGTCTAGGGGGGCGGGGCTGCGATGTGGGGGGGGGGGTGATGGGGGCGGGGCGTCTCGGCTACCCCGAGCTACAGCACCGCACTGAGTCGTGTCGATTGAATCTTGAAGCTTTCGTGACTGCAGGAAGTCACATTCTTTGGGTCTTTCAGTAAAGTCACGTAGATAGGTTCAAAGAAAATAACAAAAAATAACAAAAAACGACGACGTTTCGATCACAAAACAAGCGATCGTCATCAGGAACCTATCTCCGCGACTTTACCGAAAGAACCGAAGAATCGAGAAGATGTCTCTACCCCAGTGATTCTTCACCTCCACTGCAGCCTTGCACCCCCTTTGATTCTCAATGGTTATAAATGTTTGTATAATGTAAATACATACATCGGGTTTTGGTGAAACAATGTAAGTTGTACTTACGTGGCCGTGCTTAATTTGTGTTTTAGATGATTTACCTTCATTAAAAAAAATCTGGTGGTGTCTCGCACCCCCAGAAAGGGCATCTGAGGGGGGGGGGGTTCGAAATGCAACTCCCCCAGGTTTACGAAGCCACTGGTCTACGTGAAGTCAACTCAGCCGTCCCGTGCGATTGAAATGCCGTGGCACCATCTTCAGACCGTTCAACCTCGAAGCACAGCAGCGAATTGTAGTTGGATCTGATTCACAGAACGCAATTGTGTTATATATGTTATCAGCTGACCGCAGGTCTACTTCGGCTCTTTCAGATGAAACTCATCCACGGTCCCTTGCGGGTTCCCACCCTGGGTCAAGCAAAGATAAAGTTACCCTTTAAGAATGCTTCGACGGGCGTTAACATTATCTTCATTTATTGCTAATTAGATGTTAAATAGTTTGATAGATGATGACATCGCGCCTTGGAACACATGTACAATGCCCTATAAAGACACCTACAAACAAAGATCCCCCGTATAGCCTCGTAACAGAGTGTTGGGGCAAGTGCTGTTAGCGAGCAGAACCTATGAAGGCCGGCACCACGGCCGGGTCGCCTTTGTCTCCCCTAGTGGCGATGTTTACTACACACCGCGCCAGGTACTCATTTGAGGCTGAGTCGACCTAGGGGAGGCCCAGAGACCCGTTCAGAGATAATCGTCACCGGTGTTGGCCGTGAGCGAGAATCGAACTCGGTAGCGCACCCCACGTACAGACAAAAAACAAGAGAGAGATGCGCACACACACAGACACAACGCACACACAGACACAATGCGCGCACAGACACAACGCGCGCACACAGACACAACGCACACACACAGACACAATGCACACACAGACACAACGCACACACAAACACAACGCACACACACAGACACAAAGCACACACACAGACACAAAGCACACACAGACACAACGCACACATCAAGGTCGCACTGCTGCCCTGTGGAATTCTCTGTCATCATCGTCTCTGTTGCTGCTGCTGAGTTGGCAGCGGTGCACAAGCAGTTGATCACGTCGGCTTTCGCGACCAATATCATCCGCAAACGCAGGTTGTTTGTGTTGGATCGCGTAAATATGTCGCACACGTAGCGGGGGCTCAATTAACAAACATCGCCGTCGTCAGAAACAACGCCGTGCGCGCGCCTGTGTGCGTGGACTTTAAAGGAAACATTTAATAGGCGACGTTTCGGCCAATGACCCTTCTTCATAGCGCATGCGCTGTAAAGAGGGGGGCGTCGCTGTGAAGAAGGGCCATTTCCCGAAACGTCGTCTGTTTTATATTTTCCTTGTAAGGCCACACACACGGTGCTGGTATTAACACATTTAATACCAGCACTGAACTCCGTCAGCAGTTCTCCTGCTGTGTTTGTCTCACCTGATGACGGTTGCTTGTGTTGCGATAGAAACGTCGTCATCTATTCATTTTCTACCTACGTGACTTTACCGAAAGAACCAAAGAGTATGGATTCCTGCAGTCACGAAAGCTTCAACTCAAGAGTAACACATTTGTTGCGTTCAACCTTTACGCAGTTAAACACAAAGAAACTCACTTCAACGCGTCCCTGGTCGTTTGACGTTGTGTTGTTTCAGCCTCCGTTCCTGTCGTGTTCCGCAAACTGTGCTTTAAAGAAAAATAACAGGTAATAAAAGAAACAATGACACGTCAGGCTCACCTCGGTCTTAGCCGACGAGTGGTGGCCGATTGAACGGGACAAGTTGGGATCGAGTTCCCGGCTCACCACCTTGGACCCCAAACGGTGCCACCACCAGCAGCAGCAGCAGCCCACGCACAAGCGACCGCGTGACTGATGAGTCGGAACGAGGTGGGGCGTTGGTGGTGGTGGGTGGATGGTGGCGAGCGACTCAATTAACTCATTAACCCTGCACGTGCCGGACGCGCGCCCCACGATGTTCGGCAGTGGTCACCGCTGGGGCTCGCCAAGAGGTCCACAGGGCGACCGCGACCACCACCACCTCCAGCACTGCCTGGGGGGGCGAACGAGAAGTGAAAGTGAGACGTGAGGGGGGGGGGGGGTGCGGTTAGGGGGTCAGCGGGATGGGGGTCAGTAGGGACGGCTGGTCACGTGAGTGGCCGGCAAGATAGCCGGCTCGGGTGATGGCTAAAGCGGGGTGGCTCGGTGTGGCTAAGTCACCTGTGCCCAGTCGTGGTAGTCCGCTGGTCACGGATCAGCCATTCGGTGCGAATGTCCTGCACACGCTCGGCCCATGCGTCGTGACCCCCACCGTGCCAGCCTGCGCGCGCTCCCCTTGGGTTGGGGGGGGGGGGTCCAGGGTCCATAGCCGACGTCAGTTCGCTGTGACACGCGGCCTCGGTCACATCCGCGGGCTGAGCGAGGTCATCCGCTGCTGTTTCCGCGTTAGATAGCGATCGCCTCTGAGCACCGGGAAATCGGAGCCATTCGGCGTCACGATCCTCACGCGCGCGGCCACCCTTCCCGAAGCGCTCCCAAGCCCGCGACGGGGATGGAACTGGGGCTGCCCGGTGCCTCCTAGGTAGGCAGCTGCGGCAGCAGCGCGCCTGAACACGTGAAAGACGACCGCGCACCCCAGACGCTCATTGACGAGGGGACAAACGCACGCGTCTTCGGCAACGCCACTCGCTTGTTGCAGCGCGCGCGCGCGTTCGGAGACGCCGCGTTCGCGGTGGTGGACAAGCGTGCGCTACGAAGAAGGGTCATTGCCCGAAACGTCGCGCACTATATATTTATTTTGTTACCTTTGAAGACCGCCTACACGCACACGATGCCGCTACTGACGAACGTGTTGGGCTGTGCAAAGGCGATGCGGTTTGTTGGTGGCACAAGCGCTGTTAGCCAGCGCCTCTTGCCGCGCAACGAGGTGTCGCGGCCGTCTTTGTCTCCCCAGCGCCGACGTTTAACGCGTCGCCGTCGTGCTGGGCACCGAGGAGTCGGGGTGAGTCGAGCCGAGGCAGGGAGGGAGGCCCGAGACCGCTTCTGATGTCGAAACTCGCCACTCGTCCGGAAGTCGAACTCGGGTTGTCGCGCGAATCACTGCGCCACCGCTTCGCTAATCGACACACACTCATCATGAACACACACACACACCAAACTACACACACAAAACTACACACACCAATCACACACACTCATCATGAACACACACCAAACTACACACACCAATCACACACACTCATCATGAACACACACCAAACTACACACACCAAACTACACACCCCAAACTACACACACACACCAAACTACACACACCAAACTACACACACACCAAACTACACACACACACCAAACTACACACACCAAACTACACACACCAAACACACTCAACACACTCATCATGAACACACACACACACCAAACTACACACACACACCAAACTACACACACCAATCACACACACTCATTATGAACACACACCAAACTACACACACACACCAAACACACCAAACACACTCATCATGAACACATACACCAAACTACACACTAAACACACTCATCATGAACACAGAATACACCAAACACACACACACACTCATCATGAACACACACACACCAAACACACACACTCATCATAAACACACAGATAATACTACACCCCAAACACACACACACCAAACTACACACCAAACACACACACCAGGCACGCACACCAAACACACACACATCAAACACACACACATGAACACACACACCAAACTACACACCAAACACACTCATCATGAACACAGAACACACCAAACACACCAAACTCACCAAACTCACACACACCAAACTACACACACCAAACACACTCAACACACCAAACACACCAAACTCACACACACCAAACTCACACACACTCAACACACTCAACACACCAAACACACCAAACTCACACACACCAAAGTTTGGTATGTGTGTGTTTGGTGTGTAGTTTGGTGTGTGTAAACACACACCCCAAACACCCCCCCCCCCTATAGGCTGAATAGGCTGTTGTGAGCGAGCACCTATTGAAGACGGGCCCTGTGGCACACGAGAGGGAGGGTGACCAGCAAACTCCCCAGTGGCGATGTTTACACATCGCACCAGGTACGGATATCGGAACCAGGACAGGTTCCGATATCCGTCACTGCCGTTGTCACCCGTGGGTGGGAATCGAACCCCGGCCCCACCACACAACAACAACAACAACAGCCGCCAATCACCACTAGGTGGCGGTGACGTCACCACGACGCTTGTGCCAGGCTAGGTGCACGTTCAGGCCACGTGAAGCGTCGAACGCTGGCAGGAGGTCACGGGACAGACCCAGATGCCACGGGCCGACTGACTGAGACGACTGGCTGATATACCACCTGTGCACATACACACAAAGATAAAGACAAAGATCCCCCTTATAGCCGTAACAGACTGTAGGGGCAATTGCTGTTAGCGAGCACCTATAAAGGCCGGCACGGCACACGAGGGGGTGGGTGACCAGCACCACGCGCGGCCGCCTTTGTCTCCCTAGTGGCGATGTTGACACACCGCACAAGGTACTTATTTGAGGCTGAGTCGACTTAGGGGAGGCCCAGGACCGGTTCATATAATCGTCACTGGTGTTGACCGTGAGCGGGAATCGAACTCTGTTCGCCGGGTTCGTAGCGCAGCGCGCTAACCACTACAATACCTCTCCCCACATACACACACACATACACACACACATATACACACACATACACACATACACATACATACACACACATATACACATACACACACAGACACACACATACACACACAAACACACATACACACACATGCACACACATACACACATACACACACACGTACATACACACATACACACACACATACACACATACACATACATACACACATACACACACATACACACACAGACACACACATACACAAACACACATACACACACACACATACACACACACACGTACACACACGTACATACACACATACACACACAGTATACACACACACACCTGCCTCGTTTGGACTCAAGTCGAGAGTTTATTTGTGCTTGAACGCGTGGCACGTCTCTCTGCCACAAATCTGCCACTCAAAGCGCCGTCGCACTGATACTCAAACTCAGCATAAAATGTGAGAATTCGAAACAATGAGAACATGCATATGCGGTGTATATATAAATTATGCGTTAACTGACCGAGGCTCGTGAAGGACGCTACTGCTACTGGGCAGTTGGAGGCAGTCGCCCTCCAGCAACAGCGGAGGGCGGAGGAGCGACGCTCACAACAACGAGCGGAGCGTCGGGCGGCTAAAGCGCAGCGAGTTGGCACAGTGGGGAAGCACAGGTGGTGCATCTGCCACTCATCTCAGTCAGTCGACCGATGGCACCTGGGTCTGTCCCGTCCACCTCCTACCAGCGTAATCTCGACATTTCACGTGGCCACGAAGTGCACCTAGCCTGGCACAAGCGCCGTAGTGACATCACCGCCACTTAGTGGCGAACGGCGGCTGTTGCTGATGTCGTGTTGCTGACATGTGCTGGTTGCTGACAGTGGCGCTGCTGATAATGATGGTTCTGCTGCTGCTGATGGTGATGATAGTGGTGGCGATGTTGGTAGTGGTGCTGGTGGTAATTATGATAAACATATCTCCCTCCCGTCATCTAATTACCATGAGACACTCCCTCCCCCTGGCGCACTCACAATCACCCTTCCTCCTGTCACCTCAACTCCCTCCTTCCCCCTCCCCTCCCTCCCTCTCCTCCCTCCCTCCCCTCGCTCCCCCTTCCCTCCCTCCCCTCCTCGCCCCCCCGTCATCTCACGCGCGTGCGCGAGGGAGCGCGCCTGAGTCGAGCGCCGCACAGGGCAGGCTGTGGGTGTCGAAGAGCAGGCTGTCGGGGCAGGCTGTAGGGACAGGCTGTGGAGGGGAGTGGGGGTGTTGTTCCCTGCCTGATTGGCAGTCCGGCTGTCTGTCTACAGCGGCGGTTGTGGCTGCCGAGCGGGTCCTGCGGGGTCTGGTTGAGGCTGTAGAGAGACGGCTGTAGGGGCTGTGCGCGCTGTGCCCGCTGCAATCGGAGCGAAGGACGCGTGACGAAGGGATAATAGCACGCGGCCAGGAGCAGTAGGTGAGTCAGTGCACACACGGCGCATAGCAGCAGCGCGGTGCTGGCTACACACACACAGCACGTACCATCTCTATACTGGCTACACACACAGCACGTACCATCTCTATACTGGCTACACACACAGCACGTACCATCTCTATACTGGGTATACACACAGCACGTACCATCTCTATACTGAATACACACACAGCACGTACCATCTCTATACTGGCTACACACACAGCACGTACCATCTCTATACTGAATACACACACAGCACGTACCATCTCTATACTGGCTACACACACAGCACGTAGCATCTCTATACTGACTACACACACAGCACGTACCATCTCTATACTGGCTACACACACACACAGCACGTAGCATCTCTATACTGACTACACACACAGCACGTAGCATCTCTATACTGACTACACACACAGCACGTACCATCTCTATACTGGCTACACACACACACAGCACGTAGCATCTCTATACTGACTACACACACAGCACGTAGCATCTCTATACTGACTACACACACAGCACGTACCATCTCTATACTGGCTACACACACAGCACGTACCATCTCTATACTGGGTATACACACAGCACGTACCATCTCTATACTGGCTACACACACAGCACGTACCATTTCTATCCTGGGTATACACACACAGCACGTACCATCTCTATCCTGGGTATACACACACAGCACGTACCATCTCTATACTGACTACACACACAGCACGTACCATCTCTATACTGACTACACACACAGCACGTACCATCTCTATACTGGCTACACACACAGCACGTACCATCTCTATACTGGCTACACACACAGCACGTACCATCTCTATACTGACTACACACACAGCACGTACCATCTCTATACTGACTACACACACAGCACGTAGCATCTCTATACTGACTACACACACAGCACGTACCATCTCTATACTGGCTACACACACAGCACGTACCATCTCTATACTGACTACACACACAGCACGTACCATCTCTATACTGACTACACACACAGCACGTAGCATCTCTATACTGGCTACACACACAGCACGTACCATCTCTATACTGGCTACACACACAGCACGTACCATCTCTATACTGGGTATACACACAGCACGTACCATCTCTATACTGGGTATACACACAGCACGTACCATCTCTATACTGGCTACACACACAGCACGTACCATTTCTATCCTGGGTATACACACACAGCACGTACCATCTCTATCCTGGGTATACACACACAGCACGTACCATCTCTATACTGACTACACACACAGCACGTACCATCTCTATACTGACTACACACACAGCACGTACCATCTCTATACTGACTACACACACAGCACGTACCATCTCTATACTGACTACACACACAGCACGTACCATCTCTATACTGAATACACACACAGCACGTACCATCTCTATACTGGCTACACACACAGCACGTACCATCTCTATACTGGCTACACACAGCACGTACCATCTCTATCCTGGGTATACACACAGCACGTACCATCTCTATACTGGGTATACACACAGCACGTACCATCTCTATACTGGTTACACACACAGCACGTACCATCTCTATACTGGCTACACACACAGCACGTACCATCTCTATCCTGGGTATACACACACAGCACGTACCATCTCTATCCTGGGTATACACACACAGCACGTACCATCTCTATCCTGGGTATACACACACAGCACGTACCATCTCTATACTGACTACACACACAGCATGTACCATCTTTATACTGGCCACACACACACAGCACGTAGCATCTATATCCTGGGTACACACACACACCGCTCATAGCTGTCATATACTGGCTACACACACAGCACGTAGCAGCCCTATGCTGGCTACACACAGGCCGCGCACAGGAGCCCGATACTAAATATACGAACAGCACATATACACCACAGCTCATGGCTACACACACAGCATACAGCAGCTCCATACAGCTATAAATACACAGCACGTAACAACCCTATCCCGGCTCTAACAAAAAAAAACATCACAACGCACACGCTGGATATACACCCACCTAGCGTGTATTAGTGTTACATTAGCACAGACAAGACACTGGGGAGACAAAGGCGGCCGGGCGTGGTGCTGGCCATCACCAACCGCCTCGTGCGCCATGCCCGGCCTTTCACTGGTGCTCGCTACCGACCACTTGCCCCGACGGTCTGTGCAGGCTACACGGGGGACCTTTGCCTGTGTAGGACGAGCTGAGCGGGGCGCGTGCTGCGTGTGTCACTCGCGCGCGTGCAGGGAGCGAAGCCCCTCGCCTCGAGGATGACACGGACCTGACCAGACCCCCCCCTCTCAACTCCTCCACTCCTCCACTCCTTACCCCACGCGGACTCCAGCGAGGGGGTCTGCGGGCTCCATTGAGGGGGTGGATGCTGATGGTGATTGGTCAGGGGCCCAGGGGCCCCCCTTTCCTCACCACGCTGCTGCTGCTGTTGCTACTGGGTGAGTGGTGGTGTCATTCGTCATGCGCGCGTGCAACCCCCCCTGTGTTTTGTCAATTCCCTGCTGGGTGAGCGCCCTGCTACGGCGTTGATTGACCATACTTCACCGCGCCGGTGAAGGCGATGAGCATATCGGTTGAAAGCACAACGATGGATTCCGCTGACAGCGTAGCCACGCTGTCAGCGGAGCAATGTTGTGTCTCGGAAAAAAAAACCTTGGGAGGAGCCACGGGGGGGGAGGGGGGGGCACTGGGGTCGTGAACCACCGTCGCACTTCGGCACCGCGCCTCCTGCGTGGAAGAGGAGCCGGGGTGGGGGTCGCTTCGGGGGCTTTATGGGGTTGTCGCCAAGCGGATGGGGGGTTGGGGGACAACAACAAATATTGCAACTCAACGCATTGCGTGTGTGCTGCAGTGCGAGTGAGTTGAGTGTGTTGTGTGTGTGTGGGGAGCGGTGGTGCAGCGGTTAGCGCGGCGCGCCACGCCGATTCGATTCCCGCTCACGGCCGCCAATACCCAGTGAGGATTATCTGAACCGCTCCTGGGCCTTCACCTAAGTCGACTCGGCCTAAAGATGAGCACAGTACCTGGTGCGGTGCGTAAACATCGCCACTGGGGAGACAAAGGCGGTTGAGCGTGGTGCTGGCCGCCCACCCCCTCGTGTGCTGTGCCAGCGCTTGCCCCAACAGTCTGTTAAGGCTCTACGGGGGATCTTTGCCTTTGTGCGACGTGGTGGTGCGTCGCGCCCCGCGAGGCCCTTCATCACCAACGTGGTTGTCTTCGTGTGATAACCTCAACTCAGTCGGTCAATACCAACTGTGTGCGGCCTTAAAAGGTGGGAAATATATATATAATAGGCGCCTAATTCATCATTAATCAACCGTAATTAGCCCCCCTCCCCCGGGGGAGTTTGATTAAACAACCGAAGCTGCTGAGCACACAGCCCCCAAGGCTCAAAAGGCCAAGCGGGCTGCGACAAACAGCACTGTCATCAACGTTGTGAAAGATAAGACAAGCGTTACGTTTCTTGCATTGCGCAAGAGTGTCCTGTGAACTTGTGGGGGGGGGGGGGGTAACAGGGATGATGATGATGATGAAGCTGCGAGGTGGGAGTTCCAGAGAGAGCAGGGTGGTGAGTGAGTGGTTGAGTGACAGGGGGGGCGAGTGTGTAATGTTGTGATCTGCATTGTGGTAGTGGTGGTGGTGGTTGAGTGTGAATGAGACGCAACGGTCTGGCAAGCCGAGTTCTCAACACGTGGCGGGGAGCAAGCAGGTAACGTCCACAGTAAGAGTCACCGAGCTCGTAGTAGCGACAGATGAGTGATACGGAGGCGACGGGCTGCAGGTAGGCAAATCAGTGGAGTGGATTAGTGAGGTCTGGGTCGTCAATCACCCTGACTCCTATCACGTGCAGTGAGGTCGGCACTTTCCAGTTCAAATTCCAACGTTGACTCAACGCTGTGGCCATGTGGAGCAACGTTGGCCCGACGCTGCATGTTTCCTAGTTGGGTTGGAATAAGTCAATGAGTTCGTGGAATGAATCACGATATGTTAGTGGAATGAATCACTCTATTAGTGGAATCAATCACTCTGTTAGTGGAATTAATCACGATATGTTAGTGGAATGAATCAGTGGAATGCATCACGATATGACTGTGGAATGAATCACTCTGTTAGTGGAATGAATCAATGGAATGCATCACGATATGGCTGTGGAATGAATAACTTTGTTAGTGGAATGAATCACTGTTAGTGGAATGAATCACGATATGTTAGCGGAATGAATCAGTGGAATGCATCACGATATGATTGTGGAATGAATCACTATATGTAAGTAGCACTTATGTTAGTGAAATAAATCACGATATGTTGATGGGATTAATCACTATATTAGTGGAATGAAACACTTAGTGCCATTAATCACTTTACGTTTGTGGAATGAATCAGTACGTTTGTGGAATTAATCACTGTTAGTGGAATTAATCAAGATGCGTGAGTGGAATGACATCACTGCAGTACCTCTAGGATGGATCATCAAATCCCGGTTTTAAAGGGTCTTTTTTTACCCATTCGCAACCAATGATCAAAGTGTCAGTGCGTTAGATCACGTACATTTCTAAATGCGTCGTTAACCCGCCACCACCTGACAGCCAATTAGTAAGGTTTGAAACGTAAACAGAGGCTTGGCTCTCCAACACACACCGGCGTGCTGTACTAGTAACGAATTGGCCACGTTCTGTTTACGTGACAAACCTTACTAGTTGGCTGTGTCGGGTGGTGTCGGGTTTAACGACACATTTATATATTTACGCGATCTAACTCGTATGATGGATGACATTGGTCCGCGAAAGCCCACTACGTGTTGTACTGTCAGTGCGTTGGCTTCCGTAACTGTATTGGGGGGGGGGCACGGTCACTCACCGCCGAGATGACCAAATTGGACTTTAATGTTGACCATCGGGGGGCTTGAGCCGGGAGGGAATCCGGCCACGCTGATCAACACGGCGAGGGCCCATCGCCTGGCCACAGCCAACTACATCAACAAAAGAACGATTCACAAACAACAACAAAACATGCAAACTACCCGGTCTGCACCCCCCGCTTGTAACCACCGCAAGTTGATTGATTCCGAGGCGAGGCTGCGTGGTGCTGGAGAGCGTTACATAACCAAGGGGAACGCGTGATTCTTCCCAGACTCTTGTTGTTGTTCGGCTCACGAAGCCGTCGCTCCGTGGCTGTGGGACAGCTCGGATCCGGCCTGTGCACTGGCAGTGATCGATACTCGTGCCGCCCAGCAACAAGCGCCTCGGTTCGATTCCTGACTCGGCCATCAAACTGTGTGGAGTTTGTATGCTGTCCCCTTGTTCTGCAGTCTATGTGTGAGTTAGTGAGAGTGTGTGAAAGTGTGTGTGAAGCTTGTTTGTTATCCCCGTGTTCTGTCAGCGGTGTTAGAATTAGTGAGAGTGTGTGAGAGAGAGTGTGAGAGGGTGTAAGAGTGTGTGAGAGAGTGTGTGAGAGTGTGTGAGAGTGTGTGAGAGCGTGTGAGAGTGTGAGAGTGTGTGAGAGTGTGTGAGAGCGTGTGAGAGTGTGTGAGTGTGTGAGAGTGTGTGAGAGAGTGTGAGAGTGTGTGTGAGAGTGTGAGAGAGTGTGTGAGAGTGTGAGAGTGTGTGTGAGAGTGTGAGAGTGTGTGTGAGAGAGTGTGAGAGTGTGTGAGAGAGAGTGTGAGAGTGTGTGAGAGAGTGTGAGAGAGTGTGTGAGAGTGTGAGAGAGTGTGTGAGAGTGTGTGAGAGAGTGTGAGAGTGTGTGAGAGAGTGTGAGAGAGTGTGAGAGAGTGTGTGAGAGTGTGAGAGAGTGAGAGAATGTGTGTGAGAGTGTGTGAGAGTGTGTGAGAGAGTGTGAGAGAGAGTGTGAGAGTGTGTGAGAGAGTGTAAGAGGATGTTATCGCGCTGCGCTACGAACCAGGCGACCCCAGTTCGATTCCCGCTCACGGACAACACCAATGACGATTATCTCAACCGGTCCTGGACCTCCCCTAGGTCGACTCAGCCTAAAACGAGTACCTGGTGATATGTGTAAACATCGCCACTGGGAGACAAAGGCGGTCGGGCGTGGTGCTGACCACCCACCCCCTCGTGTACTGTTCCGGCCTTCATAGGTGCGACTCGCTAACAACACCTGCCCCAAAAAGTCTGCTAAGGCGATATGGGGGTCTATTTGTCTTTGTGTGTTTAGTGAGTTCGTGAAGTTTGTATGTTCGCCCCTGTTTTTCATCGGTATCCTCTGGTTTCTCCTCCCATAGATAAAACAAATGGAACGGGTCTTGGCCAAACATTCCAATGCTGAAAAAATTGCACTGTAAATTAAACAACATTTTTTTTTATCAGGTAAAGCCCACTGAGCTATTTACATCTTGTTCAGCAGCGACCTGGCCGCAAACGATAGCTGAACGAAGTGGCTCATCACGTGGACATTTGTTGCAGCCAAATACCCTCAAGGCACATTTCTAAATGTGGAGGAGAAAACCGGAGGACCCGGAGAAAAATCCACGCGACCACGGGGAGAGAGAGAGACACGTAAACTCCAAATATACAGCAGCAGGCGTCAGGGTCAAGATGGAATCCACGACCTGCTGTACACCAGGCGAGGGAGTTGACATCTTGGGATTACACACTCCAGCACCAATATCGCCCTCGACTACAAACACTTGGCAGGTCCCTGCTGACAATGAGGATCGAGTATCCTGGGTAGCCGAGTGTCGTATTCACAGTCAGCTACGAGGAAAGAGCTGCTGCTGCTGTTGTTGTTATTTGTTGGGTCACGTGAGCTGGCTGTTGGGGCTGGAGGAGGCAGCTGCTCCTCGCGAGAGCTCTTGAACATCGAGAATTCGTTATCACATCCTGGCCCGGGGCCACAAAGATAAAGGTTCAAGCCCCCCCCCCCCCCGTATAGCCTCAACAAGCTGTTGGGGCAAGTGCACTTACGAAGGCCGGCACCGCACACGAGGGTGTGGGGTGGCCAGAGCCACGCCCGACACACACTCGCTCACACACAAAGATAAAGGTACCCGTTTAGATATACCATACTTTTAGGGGCAAGTGCTGTAAGCGAGTGGCACTTATGAAGGCCGGAATGGCGCACGGGAGGATGGGTGGCCAGCACCAACAACCGGCCACCTTTGTCTCCCCAGTGGCGGTGTTTACACACCGCACCAAGTAACTCGTTAAAGACCAAGTTGACGTCGGGTGAGAGCGCCCTGGACTAGTTTAGATATCCGCCCACTGAGTGCTGACCGTGGCCAGGAATCGAATGTGAGCCGCCTCCGAGACACAAAGACAAAGATCCCCGATGTAGCCTCAACAGACTGTTTGGGCAAGTGCTGTTAGCGAGTACCTGTGAAGGTAAACAAAGACAAAGATCCCCCGCATAGCCTGAACAGACTCTTGAGCAGAGTGCTGTTAGCGAGCACCTATGAAGGCCGGCACGGCACACGAGGGTATGGGTGGCCTGCACCACGCCCGGCCGCCTTCGTCTCCCCAGTGGCGATGTTTACACACGGCACCAGGTACTAATTTGAGGCCGAGTCGACCTAGGGGAGACCCATGACCGGTTCAGATATTCGTCACTGGGTGTTGGCCGTGAGCTGTAATCGGACTCGGGTCGCCGGGTTCGTGGCGCGCTAACCGTTGCGCCACCGCTCCGCGATGGGGGCTGGAAGGAGCGCAGTGAATGCGGTGAAGCCGCTGGCGGGGCTCTGTCCTCCCGTCTCCTCCACGTGGCCCCCACAGCCTTTGGCACAAGTGCCGTGGTGATGTCACCCTGTAGATATGTGTACGTGTGTGTGTGTACACACAAACGTCTGTGTGTGTGTGTGTGTACACACACGTATACACAACGCCACTGGGGAGACAAAGGCGGTCGGGCGTGGTGCTGGCCACCCACCCCCTCGTGTGCCGTTCTGGCCTTCAGAGGTGCTCGCTAACAGCGCTTGCCCCAACAGTCTGTTACAGGCTATACGGGGGATCTTTATCTTTGTGTGTGTGCGTGGAGTGGGAGTGTAGCTGGACTACGAACCACCGCCGGTGACTCTTTTCTGAACCAGTCTTGGGCCTCCCCTAGGTTGACTCGGCCTCAAATGAGAACCTCGTGTGGTGTGTAACCATCGGCATTGTCTCCGCAGTGGCGGTGTTTTACACATCGCACCAGCTACTCATTTGAGGCCGAGTCGACCTAGCGGAGGCCCAGGGATTGGTTCAGATAACACTATGTAACACAATGTTTGTTCCCGGGTAGTGTTATTTTCTAATTGCTTATGCCTCAAAAGTACAGAAAATGGCTATTATTATTCCCCACAAACTTTGCTTTTGTGACCAGGACTTTATGTGAACAAAAGACACAATATGTAAATTTCAAAATGTCACTGTCCTGAACACAAAAGCAAAGTTTGTGGGGAATAATTTTTCTGTACTTTTGAGGCATAAGTAATTAGGAAATACCACTTACTACCCAGGAACGAAAAAAATATGTTTTTGTTACACAGTGTTATTCTTGGAGTGGATTATTGACTTTGCTTTTGGGTCCTGGTCACAAAAGCTTGTGGGTAATAATAATAATAGCCATCTTCTGTCCTTTTGAGGCGTAAGCAATTAGGAAATAACACTTGACGATAATTACACAATATGATTATCGTCACGCGCACACACACACACACCAAGACAATGACACACACACATCACATACACTACAACTCTTGCACACCAACACACGCACTGACAAGCGAGGCCAGCTCACTCTGGTGCCGTGTGAGGCTATCCCCGTCTCGTGGAAAAACTCAGTCGCAAACTAAACTTCACGCGACACGCCACATGAGCATGGAAGCTCGCTGACACTCGATTGAAAACTCATTTCTTTTTCGAACCTCTACTTGCGTTCAGATTGTTCGCCTTCCCCCACACGCTCCAATTAGCACGGTTGGCTTTGTACGGCGCGAAAAAAGTTCAACGTACGTACAACACGGCTGTCCCCCCTGCCCCCCCCTGCCCCCACCTCTGTCTGTGCTCAGCAGCCTTCACCGTGGAGGCTCGGGGGGGGCTCCGATTGGGGGGCTCCCGATCCTCACGTGACTACCGGCGGCAGACGCGAGCGGAGCCGGGGGGGGCTCCCGCCCCCTCCCCCAGCAGCTCCACCCAGGAGCCCCGCCAGGGGCCCACCAGCGGGGGGCAGGGGGGCCCTCCCCCCGCTCCTGACGGAGGAGCCCCCCCTAATGGGGGTCCCGGGGAGTCCGGCCCCGCGGGGGGCGCCACCACCGTCCCCTCGGAGGCGCGCGGCGGGGGCCCTAACGGCACTGCGGGGCCCCCCGTCACCACCGGCGAGCCCCCCACGAGTGGCGACGGTGACGGGAGGCAAGGTGCGTCTACCTGGCCCCCCCACGCGGTCGCACCTGTACCGCCTCTTACCCACCACGTACCCCCCCCCCCCCCCCCCCCACTATGCCTGCAGCAGAGTGCGCTGCTGAAGCTGCTGTTTGTAGCGTCACCTGGGTAACAGCCGCGGTTACCTGGGTTCGACTCCCGAACACAGCACGCAGCACCGCCCCCCATCCCCCCCACCTCCCTCCCTCCTCCCCCCACCGCCACTGCAGCTGAAGACTAAGCCCCCCCCCCCCTCGCACCCCCCTTCAAGTCAAACTCATTCCGGTGTTAGTTTGAGAACTAAAGAGACCAGGATGGAATGTCAGTTACCTTCTTCACGTGAGTGAGTGAGTGGGCCAGGGTCACTAAAATTATGAATCAGAAATCTTCATTTATCCTGGAGGAATCCGATGAGCTATGAAACTCGTTTCGCAGATTTCTAGTTGGGGTGTGTCAGCAAGTTCCAATAACAATACAAAAAAATGTACAAAAGTAATATCCAACAATGAAGCTAACTGAAATCGGAGCAAAAAAATAACTGCATTACAGGAAGAATCAAAATCCGTGCAAACAACCAATTTGGAATAAAAATGTATTTCCATTCACAAAAGTTGGTTCGCGACATTGTTTAAAAATTCACTCCGAATAAATTTCTAAATGTTTGTTATGTGACAGGAACAAAAATATAGCTTTAGGCTGATTAATGCAAACAAACAAGCATATAGTCAGTTATTGTTACTTTCAATCTTGATTTTAAGCTTTCGTGACTGCAGGAATCCATACTTTTTGGTTCTTTCGGTTTTATTGTTACTTAATGCCTGGCATTGCTATGTGCAAAAAATGAATACAATTGAAGAATTAGCATCGCAGCATTTCCTTGTGTGCGTGTGTATGTGTGTGTATGTATGTGTGCACGCGTGTCTGTGTGAGTCACAGAGATAGCTCAGTGGTGAGCACAACAAACCCGGTCACCCGAGTTCGATTTCCGCACACGACCAATAACAGTTTCAATATTTGAACCGGTCTTGGGCCTCCCCAAGGTCGACTCGACCTCAAATGAGTAGCCGGTGCCGTGTGTAAACATCGGCACTGGGCTGTTGTGCTGGTCACCGGCCACCGTCTCGTGTGCCAGTGCCGGCCTTCGTAGGCGCACGCCAACGGCCCTTTCCCCAACAATCTGCATTTCCCATAAATATGCTAAATTCCTCTTGATATGCAAATTATTTTGTCAAGGCGCTCTTCTCCCTCCAACCCAGCTTAAATATACGCTCCAAGCTTGGGGTGTTTCATTCAGACGCTGTCTTCCCAACAGACCTGTTCTTCACCTGAGGACGGCTGCTTGCGTTGTGGCCGAAACGTCGTGAAAATTATTTTATTATGTTTTATTTTTATTATTTTATTATTTCCCTTCTACGTGACTTTACCGAAAGAACCAAGAAGATGAATAAATTGAAGGCTACGCGGGGGATCGTTGTCTCTGTGACACGCAGTGAAGCGCCTGGCACTGGAGCTGCCCAGCCTCGTGGAGGTGACGCTGCCAATAAACGACATCTGGATCAACGTGACGGCCTCACCTCCTCCTCCTCCAGGTGCGTGGTGTGGGGGGGGGAGTGTGTACTGAATGTGTGTCAACGTGTGTGTGTTGGTTTGTTTTCCCACCCTGCGGCTAAAATACAGCGAGTTGGCACAGAGGGGGCGCGCAGGTGGTGCATCTGCCAATCATCTCAGCCAGTCAGCCCATAGCGCCTGGGTCTGTCCCGTGAGCCTTCCACACTTCACGTGACGGCCTCAAGGTGCACCTAGCCTGGCACAACCGTGGCGGTCACTTCACTGCCACTTAGTGGCGATTGACGGCTGTTGCGTAATTGTATCTGTGTTTGTGAGCGGTGGGGTGGCGCTCGATCCTGGGCCTCCCCTAGGTCGACTTAGCCTTGAAATATTACCCGGTGCGTAAACGTCGGCACCGGGGAGGAAAAGGCCGGCCACCCACCCGCCTCGTGCACCGCGCCCACCGCCGTAGGCGTCGCTGGCTGGCGGCGTTTGCCCCGGTAGCCAGTCCGTCACAGGCTACACGGGGCACCGTCTCTGCCTTTGTGGCGAGCGGCGCAGCGGCATCTCGCACGCTTTGCCGCGTCGGTGCGGGTGTCTGGGCCAAGTGCACCACCGGGGAGCGGCGTGCGCGGTGCTGCTGCCGTCGTCGCACGCTGTGCCGCCGTCTCCGCCACGAGTCGCGTCACCGAGCGCGACCGCGAATTGTCGCCGCTCCGAGTTGCCACATTCTTTTCTCTGTCGTCAACGGAAGTTGGGGCCCGTGAGCTTGGTGGAGTTTTCTGGGCCGGCGTTTGTCTCCCGCTGGTTGCTCGACTTATCTGTCAGCCACCTTGCAATTTGCATATTGACGTTTGGTGTTTTCACGGCTGTTTCCGGGAGTTTAAACTGGCCTGCGCATGATGCTGTTATTGTGATGAATGTTCCTTCTTTGAATGGATTCGCTGTTATATTTTAGTTTTTTGGTGTTTTCACTCTTCTGTAGCAAAGCCCTACCCCCACCACCTCAAACACTGCCCTCTCCCGCATCACCCCTTGCCCTCAAAGATAGAGATTTGGAATGTTCCTACCCAGGGTGCGCAATCGTACGTGAACAAACCGAACTAAACCAGCCATAGTGTTTCTGAAATGTTTATGTAGGGAGTCAGGCAGAGAGAAAATACATCACTAAATAACGTGGTAGGAAGCAGAAATGTGATTTCAAAATTCAGCATATAATTTAGAGAAGAAAAAAACACATTCAACAGAAACACGGTCTTGAACCTTTGACCCGGAAGAGTTTATGTGACAGAGCTGTCCCGCTCAAGCGAGAGGCTCGCAAATTGCGTAGAATGGAGGGGACATCAGGGCCGGACTCGGGGTCAACTCGGGGTCAACTTGGTGTGACCCCGGGTCACGTGGGGTACCGTCGACCTGTGCGGTCCCCTGGGTCTCTTTTTCGACACGCACTACTGCGGGCATTCTCAATGAGGTGCCAAACCCGGAAGTGCCGAGTTGGCAGATTATGTCCATGTACCTAATCACACACGTGGGATTAGCCCCCCCCCCCACCCGCTACGTGCCTGGCTATCATCCACACACTGCAGCGAACCCCCCTTCAAAGATGCAGATATCCATGAAACATTCCAGTATTGCGCCAACATTGGCATGTGTTTGGAACCGTTGGACCCAACGTCAGACCAATGTTTCTTGTTTATTATAGATTTGAAGCTTTCGTGACTGCAAGGATTCATACTCTTAGGTTTTTTCGGTAACGTCACGTAGGTAAAAAATAATAATAATAAAAGTAATAATAGAAATAAAATAAAAAAATAAATCACGACGTTTCGGAGGCAACACAAGCTTCCGTCTTCAGGTGGAACAGTCACAGCACGATTGCTGTATCAAGTACGATTGCTGTTGTGTGTGCGTGAGTGTTGTCTGTGTGGTGTGCATAGTGTGTGTACGTGTTGTGTGTATGAGTGTTGTGTGAGTGTTGTGAGTGTGGTGAGAGTCTCGTGTGTGAGTGTTGTGTGTGTGGTGTAAGTGTGTGAGTGTTGTGTGTGTGAGTGTTGTGTGAGTGTGGTGTGAGTGTGTAAGTGTTGTGTGTTTGAGTGTTATGTATGTGAGTGTTGTGAGTGTGGTGTGAGTATCGTGTGTGAGTGTTGTGTGTGTGGTGTTGTGAGTGTGGTGTAAGTGTGTACGTGTTGTGTATGAGTGTTGTGCATGTGAGTGTTGTGTGTGTGGTGTGAGTGTCGTGTGTGTGAGTGTTGTGTGTGCGTGAGTGTATGTGTCTGTATCTGTGTGCGTCTGTGACCTATGTGCTATGAAGAATGGGCCATCGCCAGAGGCTTCACCTATTATTTATTTATCTATTTTTTCCCAAGCCCACACCTCAAGGGTTACTGTTGACAAATCTGCAGAGAGTTTTTTTCATTAGCCCCCGTGCACCACTGCCAACGAAACAGCAGCATCACCAAATACTTCATATACGTGTCCATAAGCGTTGTGCGTCTTATATGCGTGTGTTGCTGTGTATGTGTGGGAGTGTATGTTGTGGTCAGCGCTGCACACTGTGCTTCGGACGCAGCGACCCAAGTTTAATTTCCAATCGCGATCAATCACACTGGCCAAGAACTGCTTCTGGGCCTCCCCTAGGTCGACTCAGCCTGGAATGAGTACCCGGTGCGGTGTGGAAACATCGCCACTGAGAGAGACAAAGACGACCGGGCGTGCTGCTGGCCACCTACCCTCCCCGCTCGTGTGCAGTGCCGGCCTTCCTATAGACTCCCTAACAGCCCTTGCCCCAACAGGGGGATCTTTATTCGTGTGTGTGTGTAAGAGCCATCACGGCGTTGTACGTTCAGTGGGTCCGGTAAAGATCGCGCCCTTATATCTCCCACCGTCGCCCATGTCTGCTGTTCGTTCCCTCTCTTCTCCTCTCTCGTGCCTCCTCCTCCCACGCCGCGTGGGTGCAGGCTACACGTACGACTTCGTGTGGACTCTCATGAGTCACCCAGCAGAGCTCAGTGGACTCATCGAAGGGGAGCACACGAGCACGCTCCGTCTCTCCCAGGTGGGTCCCCCCAACCTCCACACTGGTAGGTGTTCCAGGTAGGTGTCCGCTCCCAGACTGCCCCCACCACCTCCCAACAACGCCGTCCTCTCTCTCCCCCGGGCTTGGATGGAGTTGTGCGTGAAGAGGGGGCGAGATGCGGACACGCGGGGATACGCGGAGTAGAGTAGCTGCAGTGGAGGTTGCGTGTGACGCAGAGAGAGTACGCGTCGTCGCGTAGAGTGCACGTCACGTGGGGACCGCCAGCTGCCCGTGGGCCCCCCCCCTCACCTCCCCACCCGCCCCTGAACCCCCAACCCCAATAACCGTGTCCTCCGCCCGCCGGTGTGTGTGGAGGAATGTGCTGATGGTGCGGCGTGTGTGATTACAGCCCAATTACTCGCCGCCCGACTTGCCATGCAACCGCCAACTCTGTCCCACGGGCCTCCAACCGAGAGCTCTCAGAGATGCACAAACGCAGCCCTACGTGCATCCATGTTTTTTTTTTAAAACTATCCTTAAAGTAAAAAAAAAATTCATTTTAACAGGTAAGATCGCACTGAGCTGCTTTGTAGCTCTTTCTCAGAAGTGACCTGGCCACAAATGGTAGTTCAACGCAGTGGCTCATTGTGTGGACATTTATAGCGGCCAAATACTTGTGGCGATGTTGATTCTAAATGTGAAGGGGAAAAACCGGAAGACCCGGATAAAAAATCCACGCAACCACGGGGAGAGAGACACGAAAACTCCAAATATACAGCAGGCGTCAGGGTCGGGATTGTTACCACGACCTCTTGTATACCAGGCGAGGTCGTTAGCATCTCCTAGCCACCGCGTTTTTGGGTTCAGCCAGGCGGTAGCAGTCGTGGTAATTTTCAGCCAAAATTCGTGTCATAACCCTCCACCACCCGACAAGGCCATCACATTTACAAAGACATCATCATCATTATTATTTCTGTTCATACACGCTCCGCCGTGGAGACAGAGCGATGGAATCGGCTTGTGGGCCGGCGCTCGTTGGATCGTTACGTCGCGAGGCCGTGAGAGATGGCAGCTGCTTGGAGACGCCTTCATCCAGCAGCGGATCTATCTTGGCTGACGATGATGACGATGATGATGATGGTGGTCACAACTGCTGCTGCTGCTGCTGCTGATGTCGTTGTCGCGTCACAGTCCCGGTGCCGCCTGTGTCTCTGTCCGCAGCTGTCGGCCGGGAAGTACGTGTTCCGGATCACGGTGACGGGACCGCTCGAGTTCGGAGAGGCGTTCAGCAACGTGACCATAAACCCCGGTGAGACGCGCACGCACACAGACAAAGGTTCCCCCGGATAGCCTTTAACGGGTTGTCAGGGCAAGTGCAGTTATGAAGCGCCTAATGAAGGCCGCCACGGCAAAACTATGACGGGGTGCTGTGGCCGACACCAGGCCTGGCTACCTTTGTTTCCCCAGTGCTGATGTTTACACACCGCACCAGGTACTCGTTTCAGGCTGAGTCGACCTAGGGAAGGTCCAGGGCCGGTTCAGACATGGATGTTGGCTGTGAGCAGGAATCGAACTCTGGTCGCCGGATTTGTAGCGCAACGCTCTAACCT